AACTTATAGAGAAATTATAAATTATAAAATTATAGAGAAGAATCTAGCAAGGGGTTTCATCCAGCCGGCAAAGCCGAAAACAGCAGTCCCCATGCTACTCTGCAGAAAGAAGGATGGGTCTCTTCATCTATGTGTGGATTATAGGTCTCTCAACGCAATGAGTGATAGTTGGCAAGAGATGGATTTTTCTAAACTCTGCAACCTTTCTTCAGACATCATGCTAGACTTTTACATGAAAGGCACATTTATCTTCCAGAGATCCTAGATGAAGGAAGCTTTTGTTACTACTGAAATGGAAAGAATGAGATAAGTTAATTTCTTGTCAAGCAAGCACAAATGGTATTTCTTGTACAAAGTATCGAGGAATGGATACTAACACTGCTCATATATTTTGTAATTTTATTTCATATATTTCATAGCTTTTCCAATTAAAAGCAAAATGGAAGACTATGGAGAGAACTTAGTGAATACAAAATTAGGCAAATGCCAGGATTACTCAGCACACATACCCAATATTATGCCATCTTTCCTAGAATTAGATTCTGATTTTGCAAAAATGCTTTTGGTGTCTGTTTATTTAATATTGAACAACTATGCTTTTGAATGTATGGGTGCTTACTTTGCGACCTGGAAATTCTTGATTTTGTTTATCCACAGTTTTTTTTTTTCTACGTGGGACTTTATAAAATGAATTCTCATGCCATTATGGGCCCAATCTCAGCTTTAGATATATATTAGCCAAATGAATTAATCAGGGGGTTGTTTTTGTGGGTAAAAGAGTCCAGCATCAGACTCTTATATGCTTCAAAAGTGATGGCTGTTAAGTGGAAGAAGCATAACCTTCACTGTAAAGTGCTTATCTATGGTCCCCATGCAAAGCATTGTCAAGATATCATCCACTGAACAGATGGACCTCTGGGCATTATTTGTTTCTTCCTTGCACTTTTTGAAAACTATTCATTGCTTGTCAGCCTTGCAAGTTAGATCGGAGAGAAAACATAGCCAAATGAATTAATTCTACATCATTGTATTGTATGATAACATTAGCAGAATTTTGCAAATCTGATCTCTCCCTCTCCCCCCCCCCCTCTCCTCAGTCTCTTTTACAACCCAAGAAAGTAGGGATGTCTCTTCTGAGCCTCTTGCCCACCCACATTCCTTTTGTGGGCTCAGCTGACTTTTATTAGACCCCTCCCTTGATTGTTTCTCTTTGCCCTGTCTCCCAAGGTTATTCTCACATACCTTTACACTGCTATGTTTGGACTGAGAGAATAATTGATTTGTGAGTGCCCAGGTTATGTAAAATGTTTGTTCATAAACTTGAACCCAAGTTTATTAGTACTTTGGCAAAATAGATACTACTGATAAACAGATTCCCTTCATTCCTGTGCATCCCTCAAAATTGGCTCTGCTTTAATTGGCTCTGGCTCTGCTTTAATTGGCTCTGGTTCTGGTGAGTTGGGGAGTCATTAAAGCAGATTTAGAGCACACAGATTTGGAGCACACGGAGCCTAATGCAGAGTTCAAGATAGTATGAAAGGTTTCCACTGAATGTGTAGACATCCATATGCCTGATGTCATTTGAAACCCAGAGAAATACTTCCCAGTGAGCTTTACCCTGATTTCCATCTGGCCCTGGATCCAAGAGCCTCTCAGCCACTTTCTTCAAAATGGTGGCGTACATTTTGTCCTTTCTAAGCCATTATTACTGACACTGAAGAAGGATGCAAAGTAAGGGAAGCTTTCCTTATTTGAAAATATTCTCATTGTTTAATGGTAATTGTTCCTTAGGGACACAGTGGAACAACAACAACAACAAAGGAAAGCATTGTGAAATATATGTTGGATGACAGTGAGAACAACTATAAAGCTCACATTGCTATATTTTAATTTTATGGAAATATTCTGCGGTACTATCATAAACGTATTTCATATATGTACTTCATAGCACATGATACATGTGCATATCATTATTCAATATTGTTCACTAAATATACACTTATCCTGTTGTTTTAATGAATGATTACAAATTAGTAAAGACTTTAACAGGCGCAATAGGAGAATGTAAAACTAGTAGCTTATTAATTCATGTGAAATATAGGAGGACCTTGTACATTTGTTTTTGGATATCCTGAAAACAAATGTGCTGGATTGTTTAATTTGCTTTATAAAGTAATGGTCAAATGGCCATGTTCCAGCTTGAAGTTGAAAAGCCTATAGAGTACTAATATATACACAGAGATGTATGTATGTGTATGTGTATATGTAATTTGTCTCTATTAAACAGAACTGAAAGAAAGTGGAGAAATTCATCATGAGACCAAATGGATGTACACGGAATAAATACAGAAGAACAAAATCCATTTATCTGGATTCTGTTTGAAATAGTAGCCATTAATGATGTATAATGGACTGGGGGGGGGGGAGTTGCCTATGGTTTAATGTTTAAAATGGCTGGATCAATACTTCTAATTAAGGGCAATAAAGGTAAGCGGTTGAAATATAGTCAACAGTGTTCTTTCCACATTTTCAGTTTCTCGCACATTCCTGTTGATCAGGCAACTGGCTTAAACGTATAAATAATAGCAATAATAATATATTAATACAGAACAGAATGAGAAAGGAGAGGACATTCTGCCACTGCCATCCAAGTCTTCTAAAGGGCCTGGATGGGCAGATGGGTCCAGCAGTTGCCAATCTTTTATGCAGACCATTCCATCATGGTTTACTTTTGATGACCACTTCGCACAAAAGAGAGTTTGATGACAGGGTATCAGTGAGGGCGTGGCGAATCTCTTCTCCTTAAGAAGTATAATATAAACAAATTAAATAAAAATGCATTTAAGGTTCAAAAAAATTCAATGCCTGAAATCTCATTTAGTTTTGCTATGACCTGAAATCTGGTAAAAAATTTAAAATACGAATACCAAATGGTGGTGATCTTCCAAGATTTTAGCCATTTAAAGAAAAAATATATATTTTGGCATCCAAATGATGGACACTTCCTGGAATATAGCATTGGATCACTAATTCTACCTATACTGGTACATTATTATTACGGTTGGCTGTATAGTCAGCCAGATGTTCAAAGCTTATTTGGCATTTTTGTCCATCTTTCAAATCTTTCCCAAAGACCTGGGATAGGCAGATGTTGTTGTTTACAATATTAAATGTATCATTGCAGGATGTATTTGTGACAGGTAAACAACTTTTCTTCCAGTACTGTAGTCCTACAGCTGCTGGCCCTGGTTGCTCAGCCCTCAGTCCTGAGACCTGTAGCCAAGTGGTGGGATTAAAATATGTGAACAACCAGTTCTCTATGTGGATGCCACTTCCATAAGTCCATTCTGGGCCTGGACAACAAAAAAGTAGCTACCAGTTCTGCCAAAGTGGTGCAAATTGGTTGAATCCCACCACTGCTGTAGCCTGTTTGTCGCCAGATGTCCAGGAATTCCAACTCCTAGTGCAATCCTTATTGATCTGGGCAACTGTTGATCTGATATTGGTCAGTAAGTTACATCTCACCATATTATTTAAGGAAGAGACACTCTTGGTCTGTCCTCAGCCCAGTACGGCTAAAACTCTGACATAGCTCTCATCTTCTTCAGAGCACACAATCCCCACAACCATCTCAAGATAGTGCTTAATTGGAAGATTACTCGTATTCAGTTTGGTTCATCACAAAGTCAGTCAGATGTTTAGACTGGATTTGGCATTTTTATCCACCTATTGAAAGTTCTTCCCAAGCCCTGAGATAGGCAGATGTTGTCATTTGATAGTATTAAAATATCTTGGAAAGAAGTAAGCTGTCCCAAATAAAGCTGCCTTTTGCAATTAGCAGATGGTGATTTTTGTCGATGTTGATGGTATTTCCGTGGTGGTACAGATCATTTGGGATTGCACCTGAGAAACCTATCATTATTGATATATTTTTGATTTCTTGTGCCACAGTTGTTCTATTTGCAAGGTTCATCATACAGTCAGCTACATGTTTAGACTGGCTTGGCATTATTATTTTACTATGTTTATTATTATTATTCTTTTTATCCTGTCTGCTATGGTAAATAGTTTAACTTGCAAAAATACCCAAACTCTACATCTTACCTCTTAAAATTGATACTTCTGTGTGCTTTTTTGAAGCGAAGAACTGTGCTGAAATATTGGGAGAAGTAGTAACTCAGAAAACAAGGTACATTTTGACTGACTAGTCTGAACATGCTTTGCAGTGACACTGAACAAGATTCTTCAACAACCAGAAGAGTCTGACAGGGTTCTCCAGGTCACACCTGACATATGCCAGCTGGCTGTCCCCATAATTGGATCAGGCCTTTGGATCCAAGGAAGTTCTTGCACATTCCAAATATATCAGACCATAGTTCCCTCAAACCCAGCCAACCTTTCATGTTGGCTATACATATGTGGTGCTAGTTTGGGAAAGCTGCTTCCAACAGGATTATAGAGCAGATGTTTTGCATTAAATACAAACATTCTTTATAAACACTTGGACTGGGGACATAACAATAAATCAGTAAGAAACCTCCGTTTTAGGGAAACATGTCCCATTCAAAAACATTCGCTTCTGAAAAATCTAATTTTATTCAGCATACTTCAGCAATATTAATCCCCAAAGACCAAATCAAGGGGGTCGTTTTTTTCGGATGATAGGAAGACCCAAGCCTCAGAGTCACTCGCGGCCGCACCTCCAGCCCTGGTTCATCCTTCTTTTTAGTCGTCCAGAAATTGCTTGGACTTGTCATCCAAGCAGCCCGGTCTGTTCACTTCACACGGGCCCCAAAATCTCTGCCTCTTCCCCACACCCAGTTCCACCGGTTGAGCAGCACCCGCGCTCTCCAAACCGCGGGGAACTTCCTGCCTCTGTGGCAGGCACGGGCCTTCTACTTCGTGCCTTTTGGGTTGCCCACCCCATGCCTTGGCACCTCGTTCCCCATATTGTCTTCCCCGCCTTCGGTTCCCCCTCCACCTCTTCCTGGCCCTCTTGCCCAACCTGACTCCACCCTCCCTCCTCCCCGGTGGCTTTTCTGCGCCTGTGGTGCGCCACAGCGGGGCCCTAAAATGACAAGAGTGACAGACAGGAGAAGATTTTTGCCCTCGTCGCCGAACTTCTCTAATGTTTAACTTGGCGCTGCTGACGACCCAGCGTATCCGGGACAGTAGGGCAGGGTAGGAGGGAGAGAACCCGATGAAAGGGCGCCTGCAGTTGCTGTTTCCTCCCTTTCACACTGATTTCCCTGGGAGCCAAAGAACCAGCAGGAGCTTCCCGCAATGAAGGTCAGTAAGTGGACTTCACCCCTCACGTCTAGCTTAGCAGCCGCGGAAAACTACGGCGAAACTCCTCTAAGGTGCTTGCGCGAAGGCGCCGCTTGGGCGCAAGGAAGGCGACTTGGCGGCGCTCGCCCCAGCTCGAGGTTTGCCTTGGCTTTTTCGGCAGGGAGACCTTCGCTGTCTTCTGGGTTGTTGCCAGTGAACGTGCAACGATTTAAGGCGCCCCGTGATTCAAACGTTCAGCTTCCTTAGCCAGCCCCGCGCTGTTGCACACGTGGCGGTATAATTTGTGAAAGAGGGCGGTTTTGCTGAGCGTGTGGAAAATTGCACCTCTGCACTGCTGAATAACACTAGATCGGTAGCCCCTTCCCTTCAACGGAGCCTCTCGACTGTATCTTAAAAATGCAACGAAACGCCAATCCCTGGGGCAAAACTACTGCGCTCAGATTAATTTTGACAAACCAAATAGAAATGCAGTCTCCTGCTCGGAGACTTAAAAAAGTTTGGAGTTCAGTTTTATGTCTTTCCCTGGCTAGTAAATAGCAAGCCACATTACTCCAGTCACCTTTGGCAGGAGACAGGGGCCACAGAAATATTTCTGCCTGTGTTGTTTGTTCACAGCATTGAGAAGTATACTACTTTTACAAAAAGAGATAGAACAGAAAAGATGTTTGATAGGAGTATTTGCATACTTGTAGCATGAAAGTTGCATGGTCACAGAATACTGTAGATGTTCTCATAGTAGAGAAATGGGCAACTAACCTTATGAAAACAACACAGGTCCAGGCAAGGATCTGCAGTATTGAATGGGCCGTTACCAGGTAAAAGGATTATATCTAAAATATAACGTGCCTTGTAGACAAGTTGCTAGAATAAATGTGTAACTGTTTACCACCCCTTAAAGAAATAAATTTATTTTTATAATCCTACTATTTGATAAGTATGCTACATGGCAGGTTGTTTGTATTAAATGAGTAATCAAAGGGGGGAAATCAAATAGCTAAAATCTATTAGTCGTAAATTAAATGTGGCCAATTTGGGGCAGTAGTTAAGGAATTTTAAGGAGTTTTAAACCTGCCTTAGGTGTGAAGCTAGCTGGATGACCATTGACCCCTGAAGAAGGCAGTGACAAATCACTGCTGAAAATCTGCCCCAAAAAACAATAAGGACTTGTCCATGTACACTGGAGAGGAACCTGATTCAAAGGAACTAATAATAATAACAATAAATATAACTGGAGAACAATCATGATAATTGGTGAGGGTATATATATATATATATAATCAAGACCTGTTGATAATCCAGCTGTATTTAGCTTTATTCTCCTCTGTGAAAAACAATCTATCCTTTAAATATTCTGGCTTCAGGGCTAATTTTATCAAAAATGGTTGGTAGGATGATTGAAGGAAGTTTTTATTCACAGATGCTTTTCAAATGCATAAAACCTAATTAGTACTGTGAATTTAAATACTATTTTAACATAAATTTAAAATAAACCACTCAACTGAGAGACAAGAAACCTATTTGTATCATGCGCGGATGAGGGTTACTACTTTATAATGTCATGGATGTGAATTAGAGAAATAAAATTCCCGGAATGTAATGAAACTATCAGGAAAAACTAATGTTTTGTTTTCCAGGAGGGGAAAAATGAAAGTTTGGAGAGAAATTGAATTTAGTTTTAGCACCCTTTATGAATATAAATTCATTTGGTTATATATGAAATGCATGACAGATAGTTTGGTTTGTTCATAAAAGTATGTTTGATGTACATATACAGTAAAATATATATTTTATTTACAGTTTATTTACTCAATAAATGTGAATTAATTCTTTGAATCTACTTTAAAAAGTTTTTAATGTTTGTTACAAATGGTATTAAAGGTGCTATATTCTAAGAAATCTAGTACTGTATCTCTTTTATGCCTTTGTAGAAAAAGAAGGCAAACTGAAAAAACATGAAAATACAGGAAACCAATGTTGTAGAAAAAGAAAAGTGTGCATTCTGAACAATATACCAAAAGTATTGTTATTTTAGAAAATGAGGAGAGGCACAGCCCAAAAAAACCTCATTTGGCCACAGCTTCCTTTTTCTGAATATGAAGTGGTATACTTAGTAACAGCTTCTACTTTTTCTGATCTTTTATTTTTAATTGTATACTAGACTTCCAAAAGCTGTTTTGTCTTGCTTGATGCAGGCTCTGCTACTCTTTCACATGTTAAGTTAGTTAAACCCAGAAATAGTGCATCCCCCAAAAGATCTCCACATTATAATCATTGCATAAAAAATTAAGCATATTTGAAAATGTTTCATAACTTTTTTATTTTGTGGAGGGGAAGGCCTTGGGAGAAAATATATATAAATTTTTCCTCAGGCCTCCCTGATGTCTCGCGCATTTACATAATTTTAGTAATATGGAAGGTTTCTCTATCTTTCATACTGTAGTGTTATGTGCTCCTGGCCACTTTCCTTCATGACCAGAGGCAAGTTTGCCTGACCAATAACCAGCCAAGATGCAGTGAAGGCCTTTTGTTTCGTTTATTGCAATAAGCGGGGAGAGAAGCTATCAAAGCTTGGTTCTCTCCAAAGTTTTAACCCAAAATATTCCCTTCTTTTATGCAGTCCTGTCCCTGGTCACTACATCCCTCCTCTTTCCCCATTGGCTGAGGTACTATGAGGTTACACTCTTTCCGTCCGCTTATACACATTTCCTGATAACATATTAAATCATATTCACATATACAATAATAATAAGAAAAAATTAGACATTTAAATGGTTATTTTAAACTGTAGATATTTAAGTCCCCTTTTTAGAACAATAAGTTCTTTTCCTGTTTTTCAATTCAGTGTGCCTTTCCTGGCTAGCCATTTCCTCTTATAGTTATTTTTTTATGGTCAGTCTTCTTTCTTTTCCCACTCTAAGACCCAGCTATTTTTGCCCATGTGTTTATCTTCCTTTCTTTATGCTCTCCTTTCCTGGTTCCCATATATTATTAGTTTTTTTTTCTCCATTCAGTAAATTTCCACTGCAGCAAATTCAATTTTAAATTTCTTTTTCAATATTAAATTCTGAAGACCTTTCTTTTACTTCTGTCAGTAGCATTACAATCCTGGGCTTTCCAGTAAAAATAATTGGAGAGAGATCCAGTAAAAATAATTGGAGAGAGTTTAAAGCAGGAGTCCCCAACCCCCGGTTCGTGGACCAGTTCCAGGCCGTGGCATGCCAGCAACCGGACCACACAAACAAGCAAAGCCCCATCTGCGAGATGCAGGCAGCACACAAAACCACACCCCCTCCGGTCCGCAGAAAAACCTCTCTCCACAGAACCGGTCCCTGGTGCCAAAAGGTTGGGGACCTCTGGTTTAAAGGACAATATTCCTACAAGTGCACAAGTAAATTACAGATAGTTTTTGAAGGAAATTACTTAAATTCAAGGAAGATAACATTTATCAATGGCCGCTATCTATGCTAGCTAAGTATGCTTTTTTGGATCACCACTGTAGCAACATTCCTCATTATATCTATATTTCCGCTAGTGCAATTCTCTGAAGCATCATTGTTGAAAACAGGATGTTGTAGTAAATAAGCCTTAGGTTTAGTCAAAATCTTTCCCAGTTTCTAATATACATTTAACTTCTTCATTTCTTTCTTTCCAGACTGTAGTGAAATGCTTATTAGGTCTTCTTGCACTTGGAGTTATCATTACAGCCATAGTTGTTCCAGTAGTTTTGCTAACAAGGGATGGTAAGTTTAATCATCATTTCCTATTTTAGTATTGTAAATAATTTTTGAAACTTGATCTTCTAGTCTCTTTCCCTCAGCTTAACTCACCTCACAGGGTTGTTGTTGCAGGGAAAATAGAAGGAGGAAGGAGTGTTAGGTAAGTTCTTCCCCTTGAGTTATTTATAAAAATAATAAAGGTTGGAATTTTAAAAAAATCTTTAAAAAAGATGCAATTCACAAAAACTTATGCCTTTAATAAAATGTTAGTTGAAAAAGCTGCTATCAAATCCTGATTTTGGGAACATAGTATGAGTAACTGACAGCCAGAAATGTATATTCTGTGAACATTGATTCAATCTAATAGAGATAAATGATGCAGTTATAATCTCAAACTTAAAATATCAAAGTCCTGTCTGATAAAAGAGCTAGGACCCAAAACACCCAGTCAGCCTTAATGAATTGGATTGGATTGGATTGGATTGGATTGGAATAGAATAGAATAGAATAGAATAGAATAGAATAGAATAGAATAGAATAGAATAGAATAGAATAGAATAGAATAGAGCTGGAAGGGACCCTGGAGGTCTTTTAGTCCAGCCTCCTGCTCAAGCAGGAGAACCTATATCATATCAGACAAGTGACTGTCTAGCCTCTTTTTAAAAAATCTCCAGTGATGGAGCGCCCACGATTTCTGGAGGCAAGCTGTTCCACTGATTAATTGTCCTCAATGCTAGGAACTTTCTCCTTAATTCCAGGTTGCTTCTCTCCTTGATTAGTTTCTATCCATTGTTTCTTGTCCTGCCCTCTGGTGCTTTGGAGAATAATTTAACCCCCTCTTCCTTGTGGCAGCCTCTCAAATACTGGAATACTGCTATCATGTCACCCCCCCCTAAACAGTGTCCCGGTTTCTGGCCTTCTGTTTATTTCTTAAATAGAAACACATTTTCTATTTATTTTTTACCCTGACTTTATTTTTTATCCCGCCCACCTAGCAGTTTGAAAGCATGAAAATGCTAGTAGGTAAATAGGTACCACTTTGGTGGGAAGGTAACAGTGTTCGTCTTTTGCCATACTCTCTGCAATGAAGCATGATCTCATGCTGGCTACATGCCCAGAGAAACATCTTCAGGCAACACTGACTTCCTCAGCTAAGAAATGGAGATGAGTACCACCCCCTAGAATCAGACATGACTGGATAGGGAGACCTTTACCTTTACCCAGTGCTTTTTTTGTAAAAAAAAAAAAAAAAAAAAAAAGGCGCTGGAACTCACACACGTCATACAACCCACCTTGCCTACCCTACAAGATTACATCCCAGAAAGGTGCCGGAACTCCGTTCTGGGCATTCTATGAGAAAAAAAGCCCTGCCTTTACCAATATCACTTAGTAAGGCCTTCTGGAGAATATGGATCTTATCTTATTTACCATATATATATATATCAGCTGTCAAAGTTTCTAGCTTTTCAGATAGGAGATTTTATTAGACTTTTTATTGAGATACTGAAATTGAACTTTGGACTTTTATTATGCAAAGCCTTCTTTTTAATGACTGATGACTCCTGATGTTTCTGAATGCATATGTGATCTGAATGACTTCTGATACAAGGAAAGGAAGCAAAGATTTGTGTGGTACATTGCTACTGACAATCTGCTAGTGACAGAATAACCTGAGCTGGATGGTAATTGATTGGAATATGTTCAAGGACGGAATACTGACAGTTCAGTCCCATTCATCTTCTCTTTCCTTCCCCTTTTCCCAAAATTACAGATAGTCCTTGACCTATGACTGTTTAATGACAGATCACAGTTATAGTGGCCTCAAAAATAATGACCTATGACCCATCCTTGAAGTTACAAAACATATTGTATCACTTCTGAAGTCATGTGATTGCAATTTGGATATTTCCATTTATAATGGTTGTAGCATCTTGTAATCGTGATCATGATTTGTGAGCTTCCAGCTGACTTCTGACAAGCAAAGTCAATTGGAGAAGCCAGATTTGCTTAAGGATCATGGTTAATCACTTAATGACCATGGTAAAATGGTCATAAAATCAGATCCTGTCACATGGTGACTTGCTTAATAACTGCATCACTTAGTGACTGAAATTCTAGCCCCGATTGTGGTCATAAGCTGAGGACTACCTTTAGAGACTTCTTCGGAGAAAATGTAGAGTTACAATTAATTATGCCAATAGGCCATGGACTTCGTTGTCTATACAGTACATTAGAGGTCCCCAACCTTTTGGGCACCAGGGACCGGTTATAAGGAGAGAGGTTTTTCCACAGACCAGAGGGGGTGCGGTTTTGTGTGCTGCCTGCATCCCTCAGATGGGGCTTTGCTTGTTTTCTGTGGTCCGGTTGCTGGCATGCCGTGGCCCGGTACCGGTCCATGGCCCAAGGGTTGTGGACCCCTGCAGTACATGATGCTTTGAATTTATAGGCAACCTTGTTTCCCAGAGCTCATGTCTACAGCTGGCTTCCTCATTTTTTTTTTCTGCAATACTTGTTTATTTTGTTGTATTCTTTCTTGTCCATTTAATAGAATTGGATTTTATGTTTTTTAAAAAAATTACTGAAACTGAGAGATAAAAATATAGAAGAAAGGCAGAATATAATACTGCAATTTTTATTTTATGCATGCATAAATAACATGGTACAATAAAAGCAGTTATTAGATAGTTTTGGTTTTACATGAATCTTGCTATGGCTCAGTGCTTGGTCTCTAAACTGTAAGACAGGCAAAAGTTGTTACAATAGTTTGCTTAAATTTTAAGTGTGAAATATGGTTTCTTGTTTGGAGATGGTGCCATTGTTTTTAGCACAAATAACAGGAAAAATGCACAATTTAAGCAAGACATGTGGCCACATAGCAAGGATCAAGTTTGAAAATTACACCCTCATATCATTTTGCTACATTCAGCTAACATAAGGGACATAACATGGGTAAGTATAGCACACAGAAGTCCGACAATAAGGCCTGAAATCTTGTGTCTAGTTATCAGAATTTTAACCCTATTAATATCAATTGGACTTACTTTTGAATGCTCTAGTAGTGAAGCCATGATGCAAAGACTTAAATCCATTTCAATGTTTTGTGCCTGTATGGAGAAATCGGAAGTTGGTGATTTCACAAAGTGGAAGAAATACATGCCTAGATATTTAAAGACATTTAAACGTGACCTATTCAATTTGGTTTCCGTTAATTTTTCAGTTATCTAAACTGGTGATGCAGCACTTGAAGAAAACAGTTCCCTCTGTTTTGGAATGATTTCTAACTTTTTCTTCAAGACATTATAATATAGTGCAGGGGTAGGCTGTGCTGACTCGGGAATTCTGGGAGTTGAAGTCCATGAGTCATAAAAGAGCCGAGGTTGCTTACCCCTGATATAGTGCATACAGGTAGTCCTTGACTTATGACCATAATTGAGTCCAAAATTTCTGTTGCTAAGTGAGTCATTTGTTAAGTGAGTTTTGGCCATTTTACAACCTTTCTTGCCACAGTTGTTAAGTGAGTCATTGCAGTTGTTAAGTTAGAAAGACGGTTGTTAAGTGAATTTGGCTTCCTCTTTGACTTTGCTTGTCAGAAGGTCACAAAAGGTGATCACATGAACCCAGGATACTTCAACAGTCATAAACATGAGTGTTGCCAAGCATCTGGATTTTTTTTTTCAATGCTGTTGAAAAATAGTCATTAAATGATCTATTGTACGTTGAAGACTACCTGTATACGCATAGCCATAAATGAATGTGGAAGAAGGCAAAAGTTGTACAATGTTACTAATGTAAATGTTAAATAATAAATGGGGCCAGAATACATCCATGCCTGATTCCCTTAAAGTAGGAAGCAGAACAATCATATCACTGTTTTGCATGTATTTAACATATAGAAAGAAATCAGGGCATTGATCTATCATGGTGGGCATACTTACAGATGCAAGTTAGATATGATAAAGATGTTAAACTGTACTTGTTTGATAAGACATTATTAACCTCTGAGGAGAAATTAATTAAGAAAATATATAATTTTCTATTGAATTTGAAAACGGAAAATGAACAAGTTAAACAATGATAACATGGGCAAAAATGTTGGATATAATATAGAATTAGAAAATGGCAAAACTTGTGGGAAAGAAATTATAATTTGACAATGTCAACTTCTTATAAAGAAAACCTATATAAAATGTTTTATAGATGGTACTTACCACCAACAAGATTAGGAAAAGTGTTTAAAACCGTGTCAGGTAGATGTTGGAAATGTAAACACAAGTCAGGTACTTATTACCATGTTTGGTGGACATATGCTAAAGCAAAGAGGTATTGGATAAAAATACATACTTGGATAGAAAAGATGTTGGGAAAACATGTAGATTTTAAATCTGAACTTTTTTTATTAGGTATATTCCCAGAAAAGAGTGATAAACAAAGCATACATTTGATTTTACATGCAACAACAGTGGCAAGAACTATATTTGCACAATACTGGAAAAATGAAGAAATACCATCAGATGAAGAAATAATTAAAAAACCTTAGAATGTGTGGATATAGACAGTTTTACTTTGAGGTTGAAAGAAAAAGAAGAAACAAAATATTATCAAACTTGGGACTTATTTTATAAATGGCTAGAGAAAAGAATAAAGGATTAGGGAATTAAATTTGTATTAGTGAATGTAAAACTCAGACAACACGTTTGTTGAACAAGTACTACTGGATGTATGAAAAAATCAATAAAAATTCTATATAAAAAAATAACATATAGAACGACACTTTCATAAAGTAACAGTCATCTGGAAGAGGTGATGATCCATATAATTGATGAAGCTGCTAATTTTTAGCAAAGCCTCTCATAGGAAATTGAGTGAAAAGCCACCTTCAGATTGATAAAGTAGGATAAAGAGATTAAATGCTTTATTATTTCAGAAACATCAAATGGAAGAAAGATAATTCAGTGTTACTGCGGAACATGAGTTACACTAATATCAAAGAAATTGTGGAATAAAATCAAAGGATGCAATTAATTGTGGAATAGAATAGAAAGGATGCAATTAATTATTTTAAATAATTAAATTGAACTATTAAATTGTCCCATGGCGAGTTGTCCCATGGCCAGTTAGTTGTGGTGAGTTGTCCTGTGGTGAATTGGCCGTGCTGAGTCAGCCATGGCGAGTTGTCCCATTCCACTAGAATAGGGTGATAACATCCTTCAGGGTGAACCTTACTTTTTTCTTCTTCTTTTGTTAACAGATTCCGATATCCGTAGAAAATTTTCTTTAGAGGATTATCTGAGTGATGAATTTCAGTACAAATCGTATAATCTGCGGTGGATGTCAGGTAATGATCCTAAGCTTTTGGAATGCCTCAGAGCTGTTTCGTTTTTTACAAATGTATGTTGGACAAAGCATGAGAGTTGTGTCCAACCACACAATCTTTGGGAGCATTATTCATCACAGTTTCCACAAGATTTGTTTACACATTCAAAAACGTACATTCTTTGTTAAAAGCTTTATGTCGTGGATCAGCTAACCAATCGCTAACATGGCTAAATTCATCTAAGAAATATTTGAGAAAATTGAACACTGTTTTGCCTCTCATTGGCCTGACAGCCTTGTGATGAGTTTTTATCCAATTTTTACTGTATCCCTTTTTCAGTGAGAAGCCCTAGCAACAGTGATATATATACTCTTATATACCTGACTGCGTTTGAAGATTATCCAGAAATTGTAGTAGTTTCTGGCATTTGAGAGTTGCTTTCAACAATGGAATCCCTATACTGCAATCAGTATATTACTTACCAATATGTTCGCAAGTAAATTCAGAGTACTGTATTGATCTATGAAGCCTTGGATTGCTTTGGTCCAGGCTACCTATATGATCATCTCTTCCAAATAGAACTGTCTGAGCAACTCCTGCACTGTTTGATTAACTATGGAAGGGGTGTTATGGGTCTGTTCCCTCTGAATGATTGGGAAAGCAGGAAGAACCTAGAGACAGGTTTTCTCGTGATTCTTTGGAGCACTCTCCCCCTTGAGATCTGTGTCGCATCCATCTGCTTAACATTCTGGAAAGAAATGAAAACCTGGCAGTTCCACCAAGCTGTTCCAACTGGGGCAGGGTGAAGGGCAGGGTGACTTTTAACATTTTAATTTTGATTATTATAAGCTCAGTTCTTGGTGTTTAACTTATTGTTAGGGTGTAAATGTTGTAAATAAATCAGTATATGATGGTTATAGACTAAGCTGGCATCTCTAAATACTCCCTTCACTGTAGATGGGATGTGTTCTATCCAACTAATGAAATCATTGTTGCCCCACCATCCCCACTTCATTTTTCATAAGTTCTACATCATAAACATGGGGTGCCAGAACTCATTTGTGTAGATTATTCTCCAACCATATAATAGTCAATTTAAAAATAAAGTGTTCTCTAACTTCTTTGAATTCATACATGATAAATAGATTGTTATGACAATGAACTTAATAAATAATTCAGGATTTCATTGAGTTTGGATGGGGGAGTGTTGTTTAGAGAGAAGGTTTTGTTTATTGGCACTAAATGTTTTCCTCTCTTCTGTTTTTTAGGTCATGAGTATGTCTACACAAATCAGAACAATGTTTTTCTGTACAACATCGATGATGGAACAGAGTCTACAATCTTATCAAATGACACATTAGTACGTTTTTTAAAAAAAACACTGCTTCATCAGTTCAAAGGAGATCTGTATTGAATATTTCCTTCCTTACACAGAGTGTTTTATTGCTAATTTATTTTCTTTTATCTACAGGACCGTTTCAATAGTTCTCAGGCAATATTATCACCTGACAGAAAATTTGCTCTTCTGCAATACAGTTATGAGAAGGTAGGAAACTTAGTATATTTGTATTGATAAAAATGGTTTCAGTGCTTTAGAACAGGGGTCTCCAAACGTGGCAACATTAAGACTTGTGAATTTCAACTCCCAGAATTTCTCAGTCAGGCTGTTGAGGAATTCTGGGAGTTAAAAAGTCCACAAGTCTTAAAATTGCCAAGTTTGGAGTCCTTGCTTTACAGTATGGATTCACTTTGGCATTTAGATAGTGAAGATTTGAAAGGCCCCTTGTGGTTATTAAAATCTACCCAGTTCTTCACGCTGCACCAATTTCTTTTCAATGATTTTATTTTAGTAGTTATCTTGTATTCAATTTCTCATTGATTCCTAACTTCTTGACCACTAACACAGTAGTTTTTCTGAACAATAACAAATTACTTACTCTGCACAGGTAGTCCTCAACTTACAGCCATTTGTTTAGTGACCATTCAAAGTTACAGTAGCACTGAAAAAAGTGAGTTATGACTGTTTTACCACACTTACGACCTTTTGCAGCATGCTCATGGTCATGTGATCAAAATTTGGCCTCTTGGCAACTGGACAGTATTTATGACACTTGCAGTGTCCTTTTCTGATTTTTTGACAAGCAAAATCATTGGGAAAGCACACTTAACATCTGCATTACTAACTTAATAACTGCAGTGATTCCCTCAACAACTGTAATAAGAAAGGTCATAAAATGGGCAAAATTTACCTTACAGTTGTTGTGCTTAGCAATGAAAATTTTGGGTTCAATTTTGGTCCTATGTTGAGGACTGCCTGTACCTTGTTGTTTTATAAGACTTTAGGGCATGAGAGTGAGAAGAGAAAAAAGTACTGGAGAAATATTAAAGATACAAGTACAAAGAACGCTGAAATTATAAGTATAAATGAAGGATTGTCACATCTGCTATCCCTGTAGAATGATAGAAATTAGGTAAAGTCTTGTGTGAAGGCACCTTGTTGGGTGAAAGATACCCCACACAGTGCTTTCCTCTGAGGAATATTTTTTTAGAAATAATTAGAGGTTTAGGTTCACAACTATATAAACTGTATTTAGCCTTATCTATAGATCAGGAAAACAAGCCAATTATGAACTGTGATTTTTCATAATTTTACATTAAAACGAGTGAGATTTTGAGGGTTCCAAAGGCTGACTTGGTGATTGGAGATGAAGCAAATAACGAAGACACTCTGAACTTGACCCATATATTGCTTTATTTGAAGAGGGAGCAGGGCTGGGTTTCCCTTTTTGGACGACTGCAGTGCTGAGGAATGTATTTCCTCTTCAATTGAAATTTTTGATTTGCTGATTTCTGAACTTAATTCAATCATAATTCTGACCCAGTATTTCAATACCCTGTGCCTGTGAGCAGGACCTGAGAATATATTTCCCTTACTCCAACCACTATGACTCCACGAAGCCATGGATATTGGGATTGTGCTGTGATCTGGTTTCAAAAGGAAAAAGATGGATTGGAATATGTGTAGCTACTGTAATTTCCGGTGTATAAGACAACTTTCTAAAGCATGCAAATCGTCTCCGAAATCGGGGGTCGTCTTATACGCTGAGTCGTCTTATACTCCAGAAAATACGGTAGTTTCCGGCATATAAGACGACTTTCTAACCATGCAAATCGTCTCCAAAGTTGGGGGTCGTCTTATATGCCGAGTCGTCTTATACGCCAGAAAATACGGTACATAATTGCTTCTTAAATCATATGTGCCTTTTCATTGCAGATAAAGCTGCAGCTTTTTCTCACTGATAAATATAAGGTGTACATCATGCATGCTCCAAATTTTCCTCTTTGAATCCAGAACATTACACAACTGCAGCAGTCGCATCTTTGAAAAAAAAATCAGATACGGTGGTACCTCGGTACTCATTGTTAATTTGTTTGGTGCAATTTTTCCCATAAGGAATAATATAGTGAGTCACAATGTAGCTGATACCAACAGGTCTAGCTTGTGCATTCAATACCAACCAAACGATGAGTATCAGGACAAAATCTTCACATCAAAATGCATTGAGTACCAAATTCGATGAGTTTCAAAGCCGTTGAGTATTAAGGTACCACTGGACCACCACTGAATTTGACTCAATTCTTGATCTGCAAGGACAAATGTCTACAATCTTAGCCTATGGCTGGTTGGAATCCACAAAGATCCACAAATCTCCCAAAGTTATTCTGGTGAGGTACCTGATCCAATCCATTCACCATCACCATTGTCTGTTGGGAAGAATGTGGAGAAATGCTGACCATGCTATCATCTCACCTTCACCTAATATTTTCACTTATGTTTTAAATGCAACGAAGGAACAGCACTTTGTAACCAGCTCCTCGTCCCAGTAACTGTCCATAATATTCTCCAAATTGGGTCACAAACAGAGGCTGAAAAATAAGATTTTGGTGTGTAGGAATGGTAACTATTTGTTTGCCTTTTATGTAAACTTGAAATAAGAAGATTTTTTTTCCTATTCTGAGATGTGTGGTAATTTGGGAAAGAGTGCTACTCATTTCATATCACTGATCCTTTTGGTAGGTTAAAAATTAGCACTGACTGGCTGCCTGTTATCAGAATTCCAAAACTGACAAAAAATGTAGTTGTGATTTAGCTACACATTGCTTTGTGGAGAACTGGTAAAAGGGACCAGAGTAGTGTAGAAATGCTCTCAATGTGTTCGTGGTAATGGAAAAGACAACATTTAATATTGAAGATTTTTTTATGTCATAAGAAATTATAGTTTAGCAGTATAGCTGAATATTATATGCTATATTTTAGCTATACACAAGACTGATATTATTTGAAGTCTTTATTTCTAGAAGGTATCAGGAGGTCTGATTAAAGTTGAATTTTGTTTATCACAATCTTATGATCATTAAATGTGATATGGATAAAATTGACGCAAACAGGACTTTTTTTAAAAATAATACTAACTTTGAACTATACTCTTGTTTTCTTAACTGTTTTTCTTTAAATATAAGTATTACTTTTGCAGGTGTGGAGGTACTCATACACTGCATCATACCATATCTATGATCTAATTAAGAGGTCAGTAACTGTATTGTCTTTTCTTGATGTTTCAATAGCTTATATTGTATTATATTTATATTTTTCTTTATGTTTCCTTCATAGAACCAAAATAACTGAGAACCCACTTCCTAAAAATATTCAATATATATCATGGTCACCTGTTGGACACAAACTGGTTAGTAAAATATATAGGGTTTTGCTTCCTTAATTGTAACAGGTATTCCTATGCACTATTTCTATAATCAAAACTGCACCATAAATGCAACAGAAATTTCTGGAAAACTTGGCGGGGGGAAGGGGGGAAGGTTCCAGAATAAGGACTTCTATACATTCAACCAGTTTAAACATTAAATATACAGATAACTGGTGCCATATATATTTATCTTTATAGTAAATGCATAAAGGTCCAGTTCAAAGTGAGGCCACTTGGGTGGGGAGCTTAATTTTCTTTTGGCTCCTTATTCTAAAAGTCAACACATACACATTTTTAAAAAAAATCAACAATTTGTGAAAGCATAAACCTGATTTCCAACTTAGTCAGAGTGAACTTGATTTGAACTGGGCTTTAATTCATGAACTTTTTAGGTTTAAAAAAATGGTAAGATAGTTGCATGCTAAATATTTATCATGTGGTTTAGCTCTCAATGGTATGAAATATTGACAGAAAAAAATCCACCAACAGCTGGTTGAATGGGTAATAGAAGGAGAGGGAAGAAGAGACCTGATCTTGGAAATATGGAATCTTATAGCTAAACATCATGCTGCAAAGTTATTTCATAATACTTAAGAGGCAAATGCAAGAAATTAATAGAAAGAAAACCAATATTTTAATATAGAGGAAATTGGACAAAACAATGTTAAGAGTTCTCAGGATTAATTAGACAAAATGCAACATTCTAGATCTTTATTGTGAACCGTTTTGATTTTTTTTCTTTATTCTTAAAATAACAAAGAGTAAAAGAAATTCAATTTCCTGTATTTAGATGGGTGAGAAGAATCTTACAGCATTAAAAAAAAAATCTCCACTTTAGAGCCGATGTGTAGAAATACAGCAAATGAAAGTAAACGTAATTTGTTTGATATAAAGAAAAGGTTATAAAATCTTTTTCTGATGGTAAATACTGTAATGTTTGTTTATGGCAGGCTTATGTTTACTGTAATAATGTTTATGTGAAAACAACACCAAATGCCAGTCCTGTTCAAATCACTGAGAATGGAGCCGAAAATAAAATCTTAAATGGATTAGCAGACTGGGTGTATGAAGGTAACTATCTTTGAAAGGGGAAAAAAAAACCCTTAAGAGCAACTTAACTGCCATATATACAGAAATAATATAGGTTTATGTAAAGTTTCTTCTGAATCCACTGCTTGGAACGAAGCGGGGGAGAGGCACCTTCCATCTTTGAATCACATAACTCTTTTTAGCTTTCAAAACCCTCTTTTAATCATTCTGAGAAGACACTTTGCTTCAAAAACAATCCCAGTGAACGTGTTATCTGGACAGGGTTGATGTGGCCTCAAATGACCAAGAAAGAGCCTTAAGAGTGTTGATACCTTTCAGAAATATGGCTGCCTCAGTGTTCAAAGCAGCAAATCCAGCACAGTTTGTTCCTTATTTGAGGAAGTGCCCTTCCAAATAGCTTATAAAATACGTCTTGGCTTTATTTGGTAATAGCTGTGTTTTGGTAATAACTATGGATTGGCCTAGGAATCAGGAGTAGGCAACCTTGGCTCTTTTATGACACTTGGACTTCAACTCCCAGAATTCCTGAGCCACGAGTCATAAAAGAGCCGAAGTTGCCTACCCCTGGCCTAGGTGGATATATTAAACAAGGCTTAGTCTCATATTTTATCTCCTCCTCTTTTCTCTTTCATTCAACCACAGTTGATAGGTAGAGATTCAGAAATATATGCTTCCAGGCAGTAGAAAATCACTCTCTTCATCTTGGTTTTTTTTTTCTGGGATAACAACAACAACACAATCCAGAATCAGACAGAATTATTGCAATTAAAATAGGTGACAAAAAGAAACGTATTTATGATAAACCACAGCTGAACTCTTAATACCATTTTATTAAAGAATTGTTTAACAATGTAAAATCATAAAAGGAAACAAAGATAATAATAAGAATAATAAATAGTGAAAAAAGGAAAAGGAAAGAAAGATGATTAAAGAAGCAGCTTCCAATCTTATTGATAGTGGTTATAGATACATTTTTACTTTGCCCTCTTTCTCTAAGATTGCATCCTCACCACAGCTGAATACAGTGGAATACAGTGTTATTACTATTACAACATTATTCATAGTTTGCATTGCACATACATAGTCAAGAGATAAAATTTAACATTGTTGCCAATTTTTTGAGTGAAATATGCTTCCTTCTAAATTTTCTGTGAAATAATCCACATAAATTGGCCAAAACATTTCATAGAATGAGTATCATAATTTATGAGGATTGATTCTACTTCTAGCAATAGAAGAAAATATTTATAGCTCAGGGTTAAACTGTGGAGGTCCTTGGTACTCTCTGAGCTTGGTTATTTTCTTGCAGACATTTTATTACCAAACTAGATTAAATCATCAGGGCAAAATTCCACTTCTAGCTTATGTGGCCAAGCATACTGATCATACAGGGATACTGTCAATATCCCCAACCACTAACACCAAGGATAAAACATTGAATACAGATGGAAACTTTGTGTATTAAATAAATAGCTAGCAATAGACATTCTACCATGTTGTTCCTAAAGAGCTGCTTTTACATTTCATTTTAAAGATCCTCTGGCTCTGACCTTCTCCCATGAAGTCAAGTTCAGAGAAAAGCACATCCAGTTGTGCATATAGCCTCCTAGTTGAAGATTATATGAACAATTGGGTGTAATATTTTTTCTGTTCTTAATTTCATGAGAAATGGACAGAACAAGATGACTTTTAATGATGGATTAATGAATTGAAATAATTCTGAAAAACTAAAAATGCAAAAGATTTTTTTTGAAAATGTTAATTTAAGCCACTATATTTAAACAATATACAATAGCTGGTTCTGGTCTTGATGGATCACTCCAGATGTAATAAATAAGAAAGTAAACAGCATGGCACCTTAAAAGTTTATTTTCTAAATTCAGACTTGACAATTTGTAGGTGCCTAAAATTTAGAGAATTGCAAGTTACTTTGGGTCTGAATACTTTCAGGGCATCTTTAATAGACAGGAAGTTCAGGATAGCACTAACGCAATTGTGTGGCATATCTAACATGTCTAGACCAAGAATCAGAAAACGAAACATTCCTATTTAAAGGATTGAACTAAAGTGTTGCATTCCATTAATTACTCATTCCTGTTTGTTCTTCAAGGTCTCTTGCAAAAAACTCATCATCTTGTTTTATTTTTTTCTGATGATTTCCTGTTAGGTGTTCTGCCCCACAGAAAGTGGCAGGAACACTTGAATTTGTTGAGAGAATTGGCACATCACCCACATACTAAATGATGATTATTGCCTTACCCATTCTATTTTTTATAATTAGTAGCTTATTATGATGTTTTATAGAAGTTAAACAGAAGGAAAGGCAGTGCATAGCTTTGCTTAATCCCTGCTGAATTAAGATATCTAAGCTGCATTAAAGTATTTTCATGTTATATCTTAATAGCAACAGCTGTAAATTAATGGAAAGGTTTTCTAACTCTTCCACCGTCTGTCTCCAGGGACAGAATCAAAAGCTGTTTTTTAAATCACAAAGATTACCCAAAGGATATTTGCAGAATAGTTGAATATCCTTTGCTAAATGTTGATCCCTAAAGGGGTCAACAAATACAAAATGTATTTTTAATGTTCAAAAATTAATGGAGGAATTCTTAGTAATTGTTTTATATTTCTTTTATGTTAGAATTGTGATAGTATTCTAGGCAAGATGGCTAGAATACAAGTTTAACAAATAAATAAATATTCCAGTTCTGGAATATACTAGATCACACATTCTTTAATTATTTCAAAGGGTTTTTCAGCTGTCAATTTAACATTTGCTCTGTAATGGAGTAACAGAATCAAATGATCCTGGCTTAATTGTACAATATAATTTAAGTTAGGATTTAACAACAAGCTAAGGCAAATCATAAGTAAAAGCTTCTTATTTATTCTTACCTTATTAATTCCCAAGAGATACATAAAGAAGAAGAAATGCAATATGTGGAATTTAAAAAAACAGAATGAACAATTATTCTATCAAAAAAAGGAGTGCTATTTGGGTATCCTGGCAACCTTGATTGTGGCTGCCAGTGTGAAAAACCTTGCCACCTACTGGTGGCCCCATCTTTTTCCAGTAAGACTGATAGCTTTTCACTGCATATACCAGCCAGTGTATGTTACCCTTTATTACCCAAGCAGAGCATTCCTCATGAGACTTAGCTTTAGATGTGACTTCTCTTCCCCATTGGACTCTGGTCTCATGTTCAGTGATCAGAAATATAATTAGACAATTTAAACCAGGCTCAGATTTTATTATGTATGAAGTAATAAAAATTCTTTGGAATGGTGGGTCCCAGTGCTAGCTTCATTTTCACAGCAATAGGTCATCCGGCCATGATACCAAAGGATTAGAACTTGACTGTTCTAATATCAGTATATAAGAAGGGCAAAAGAAATGATCCTATAAACTATTGCCAAATCAGTTTGCTAAGTCAGATCAGCAAAATATATGCCAAAGTATGCTGTCCCACTTACTCATACACATAACCATGGTTTAGTTGGTTTATTAATATTCCCTAGCAGTTCCCGTCATCAAAAACCCAGAACTGTCCCAATTAAGTCCCGCCAAAGCAGACCAATGCTAGTCCACAGAGCAATGGCCAATGAGTCCACAAGGCACTTGAAAGTTTCCCAATTAAAATAAACCCACCAGGCAAAATTAAATTCACAATACAAGAGGGTTCACAAGCCAAGAAAAGTCCAGAGCTCACAAGTTACAATCCAAGTCAAGGCATAGTGTCAATCCAAAGTGAGGCAGGAATCACAATGACCAGAAAACACACAGCTAGGAAACAAACATTCCCAGCATCACCTCCATTTGTCTGCTGGGCTTAATAGCCAGCTTCCAGTGCAGCCCATCAAGAAGGGCAAGGCTTTCTCCTCATGAGTAATCTGGCTGGCCTTCTCTGCTCCTGCCTTTTCTCTGTCCTACATGTTCTTGTATCAGGTGCAGAAGGCAGTTTCTCTTCCTCACTGACTGGCTGCAGCTGCATGCTTTCTTGCCCTGAAGCCTCAGGGCTGTCTTGCTGCAGCTGTGCTTGAGCCAAATCCCTCTCAGATGGCTGCTTGGAGCTATTAACCAGCTTCCCTCCAGACATTTGTGAAACTGGTTCATCTTCCTCCAAGCAGACATCTGGAGAGATAACTGGGGAAGCGTCTGGGGGACTCACCACACAAACATTTACAGGAGAAACTAATTGATTTGCTTGAATCTAAAAATATTTTGAGGGACAAGCAGGACGATCCTTATTAGAGCATACCTTAATGCCATACCAACTAGTAGAAAAGTATACCCACAACTCAGAACAATATCTGTATACAACTTTTATTGATTTCAGGTCAGTTTTTGATACAGTATCTAAAACTAAACTTTTGCATAAATTAAAAAAATGCCACAATTGATAAAAGTCTGCATGAAAATACAAGATTAGAAGAGAATATTTGTAGCTAATGGCTGAACGGTAGAGTCCTTGGTGCTCTCTGAGCTTAGTTGTTTTCTTGCAGAGGTTTCATTGCTAAACTAGGTAATGAAACATAATGTTATTTAGTTTGGTAATGAAACATCTGCAAGGAAACAACCAAACTCAGAGAGCACCAAGGATCCCATAGAATACAAGATTGAAGATCAAGTGCAATAATCAAGAACTGGTCACAAAGAAAACGCCCATAAGGAAGGAGGTTAGACAAGAATGTGTATCATTTTATTCAGCTACTTTATGGTTCCATACTATCTTCACAACCATCTTCCTCCCATTACATCGACCAGTCAAGGGCAGATGTGCAGCAGACCCCATCAGTTAAAGAACTTTGACTGGTGGGCTTCAGTAAAAGAGGCTTCTCTACCGTTTCCCTGCCCGGTGGCAGATTCTCTCCCCCAGAGCTGAGAACCTCTCTGAGGGAGGTAGACAGTTCAAAAATGTGAAATATAAAATAAATATAAATTTATTAGTTATTTACTTAAGTAACTCTACTTTTCATCCCCCCCATATTAATCCAAAGATATGTCAATTTATTATTGTATGCTGATGATGTAGTAATTCTGTCATTAACTTCCATTGGTTTTAAAAGAGCTTTGAGATCACTTATGATTATTGTACTGAGGGAGAGATAATAATAAATTATACCAAGAGTAGGATTTTTACTTTTTCTAAACACCCAAACAGAGAAACTGGAACTTAGATGGGCATTCCATTGAGCAGGTTGTGATTTTTAAATATCTAGAAATAGTTTTTTCAACCTTCAGGAAACAGAAAAGCCTGTCTGGACTATGTATCCCACAGTGAACAGAGATCTGCCTCAGTTTACAAACTTATTATTTTTCCAGAGGAGCAAGTTCCTCTGCTGCAGTTAAGTTGTTTTTAGCTATAGTCCAAGCATAGTTGCTATACAGGGCTCAAATAGGACCAAAGAGCATGATCACCACAGAAAGGATTCAAACAAAATTTCTAAGTATCTTCCAGGTTACCTGCTGTATTCCAAATCAGTACTTCAGTGAGAAATAGGAGTTAGTAAACTTAAATCTATTGTCTGATCAATATCTTTATCTACTGCTTAAAACTACACCACAATCCTAGTGGATTGACCCATGTAATATCGGCAGACAACTACAAACCTTCCTGGGAAACAGCTATCCCAAAGAAACTGAGCCATTATGATTTCTCCAGTAATGCCATCTTAACTTTAAGAGTTAGATCAGGTTAGATCCATACTAAGGCAAAGGATCTTAAATATAGAAGGTCATGTAGAAATTGCTGCTTTCTCTCATAATATAATTGCAGATAAACAAAAGTTTAGTGCCCTAAACCTATATCCCAATTCCTAAATTCAGGAGAGCTTTATCTGGTTTGATTTAATGCTCTCCCCACAATTGTCCAGGAGGGGAAATATAAGAAAACCCCACATGAAACCCAATTACAGCCCCTGTGATACAAATACCACAGAAATCGGAGCTTGTGTTCTTTTGTATGGCCGCCAGATGATTACCCCTTTTTTATTTAAATTTCCAGGGCATGCTGTATAAACATACTTCTCTTCATAAAGAAAGTGGGAACTCTTTAACATTAAAATTTTTATTATCATCTCAAATGCACCTCAAATCGCCCATAGTAATTGCACTTATTAAAGTGCCTTTTTTGGGACATAAAATATTCAGTGAATGTTTAATTTGTACTTTTATATTTTCTTCCAGATGAATATTAAGTTTGGGTACATAATTGGAAAGTTATGTTTCTTTGCATTTAATTATTGTTCATTATAGATGATACATTTGAAAATGTTATACTGTAAACAAGAAACAATTATCCATAATATTGAAATCTAAGATAAATCAAAATACTGGAATTTGCATCATTATTACAGCCAGATTTTTATAACAGAATATTTCTATAGCGCCATATTTCTATAAAAAGGCATTTCTGAGAGTTGACTTATGGTTTTGGTTGCAAAACATTGCAAGTAAGCTGAATTTCAGGAACTGAAGTTCCATCTGAAATTATACTTACAAGTTATTATGAACAATGTTTCAGGGGAAAAAGCCATCTTAGTAACTATTGCTTCAAAAGAACACATTTGAATCTTTTTCAGAGGAAATGTTTGGCACTCATTCTGCTCTGTGGTGGTCTCCAAATGGCAGTTTTTTGGCGTTTGCAGAAATTAATGACACGGAGGTTCCTGTTATGGAGTATTCGTTTTATTCAGAAGATACACTGCAATATCCAAAGACCGTTAAAATCCCATATCCTAAGGTCTGTGTTATTTATTAAACATAATTGTTGAGTGGTTTGATTAAGAGAATAGTCACATTTAATCATTTGCTGTTAACAAAAATATTGTCTGTCTCTCCTCAACAGCTTGCTGTGATTACTGTGACTTAAGTCAATAGCATCTGGCAGCTCTGAAGTATTGTATTATCTCTAGGGAAACAGGAAATGAAAGCAATTGAAGGCTGTGGAATATTTAAGTTTCTAAAATGATTTGTTGAAGAGCACTTAGATGATCAATGGAAAAAGGAACACTTCAACTCACGGGTTGCATAGCAAATAAGGGACTAAGGGCTATTAGCTCTTCCATGAAAAGGGATGAGTGGGCTAGGTTACATTCATTTCTGTTTTGGAAGACAGATTTCCAGGCTGATATATTTGCCAGGGCAGAAGTGAATTGTTCTGGTTTTTTTAAAAAAATGTATGCAGTGGATCTATACTTGGTTTCAGTTTCGTCAAACTTTAGAACTCAATACTTCCAGGGTCTCTGCAGAGGCGTTTTCTCTGATGCTCCATAGACTGTTCACGTGGCTGTAATATTCCATTGCTAGTCGAGGAAGTGATGGGGAAGAAGCCTCAATATAGAGAGTGTAGTATTTTTTTAAGCATGGTAGGATTTTCAGTGGCTCAGCAAAGGGGGAAAAATGTCCCAGCTTGTCATGCATTTTAGAAAGTAAATGTAACTTCTTTTCTGGAGTAGAATGAATAGTAATGGCTTCCTGCTGTCAGTCTCCTTGGCATGGGACTTCTGAAGTAGGTCACCCATGTTCACTTTCAGCAGAACCTTTGATGGAATTTCTTAAAATCCCTAATGGGACATGAATCTGGACGTATGTTGCTCTCTTTATTTCTCAGAATCATGTAACTAAAAATGTTTGACGTATCGTAAAGTTATTTTTGGAAGCCAGAAACTCAATAAAATTGTTACGGGTTAAAATTAAATTGATTTCTATGCATGCTTGTGATTGATTCACTTGGTCCTGATTGCTTCCATCATCAAGATGAAAGTTATGGTTTGTTCCAAGAGGGAGCAGTTATTGATCAAAGATCAAGAGTAGTTCTGAGAGGAATTTTCATTGAATTTTAATGTAGGAGGAAGATGATTAATCATTCCCCTGATCAGTGCTTCAATTAAATTTGGGGACACAACATACTTTTCAATAGAAAGTACAAACAGAGCTGTTGGTGTCCTCCTTGTCATGGTCAGATCATGACCTAATTATTATAAGACTCTCTGGTGCCGCTATCCACTGCAAGGAGTCTGGACTTATTACATTGGTTCCCCACCCCCGGCAACTGATGGAGCTGGAGAAATTTCAGAGGGAGCCTAGAGTTGTCTCTCCTGGTCTGCTGGATGGTTGATCTGAAATCTTGGTTGTTGCTTGGAATAAGGGGGCAGCTGAGACTTTGGTTTGGATTGCATTCCCTATATTTTACAGAGAAGTTGAGGGAGATGAAATGGGAGAAGAAACATGTAGAGTGACACTACACTCAACAGAGTATGAACTTGACTGAACATGGGCTAGAGTCACTATTAAGATCTATCATGTAGCAGTAAGGTGGCAAAGCAGCAGTATTTTTACACTCTTAATGCATCTGCAGATTGCCATCTGTAGCCCTATTTCATCCCCTGCTTACCTCTTGTGTAAGGGGGCGCCAGGAAACTTTGGCAGGGATGGATGAAGGAATTTGCTCACCATCTTAGATTCACTTGCAGTTTGACGCTAGCCTTCTTGCAGGTCCAGAGGAAATGCCCAGGGTGAATCTTGCCCAGTTATCTGGGAATGGTTGGAACCTGCTAGACATCAGAAATTTGACATGGGCATGAGCTAAGCCTTTTTAGATCTGTGCTTCTCCTGGGATATGCCATGTGAGTGATCCTAATAGTGGTGAATTTTTCTTTGAGTGAGGGGATTGTCCCTTTACCTCTTAAGGAAGCGATCAACACTGCCCAATATCCTTTTTGAGGAGGGTGATTAAGAAGATAATTGTGCAGCATCTTCAGAGGACCATGTGTGTTTTTAGTCTTAATAGAAAATAGAAAATTGTCTTCTATAATAGAAATGTTTACTAAGTCATGTGATGAGGAGTTACACTGATCTCTAAAAGAATAATTGTTCACAAAATGTCGGTGATCATAACGTCTCCTGAACTGACTGTTTTTACAGACAGAAAAATTACATTATTTTTAGATGTATTGAACTAAATCTTTAGTATAGCTTTCAGATTTTTAGCAATGAACATCTATAAAACACAAAATAATTTTTAAAAACTATATATACATAATTTTCTCATATTTCATGTTGAGCTTTAAAAGCTAATTACTTTGTAATTTTCTAATTAACATTGCCATTTGGACAGAATCTGTTTTACGATGTTTTAATTTTATCCAGGCAGGTGCTATAAATCCAACAATAAGACTATTTGTTTTGGATATTCTATCCCTTTCCCCAAAAAATATCTCGGAAATTGTTGCACCATCTAGTATAATATCAGGGTAAGTCCAAGTAATATGTTTTGTTCTGATGAGTGTTGTAGTTTATTATTGTTATTATTTTATAATTATTGAATAATAATATAAGATTTTAAAAAACATTCATTTATTGCATTAAAAATCCTGTGGATTCAGTCATTTATTAATACTTGACTTTTTTTCAATATGTATTCAGCTGGATCAGTCATTCTTTTTTTTAATCATATTTATTAAAACTGCCCAACTCCAAGAAGATTCTGGGTTGCAAATAGTAGGATATACATATAATTGCCCAAACTAAAACACTGTAAAACTCTTTTTATATCGTAGTAACATAATTTGGGTAGGTGCGTATTTGGTGTTGTAAAATATAAAGGATATTATAGGCAATGTCAGAACTCTACATAAGCCAGGATGAGTCACATCAGCTTCTATATTTAAAGGTATTCTGTAAACACAGAGACATATATACAAATACTAATATAAACATACTCTCTCTTACTCATATACACACACACATACATGCACACGTGCACAGGAAGAGAGGGAGGATCCTTCGTGTCTATTAGCTAGGTTGAAAGAAGTCAAAAGAATTATTTGCAGATAAATCTCAGCTTTCCAAGCTACACTTCCATTTTTTATATTCTGTGATTCATGGCATCAGTTTTTAGTTTATATTCTTTATCTTATCTTGTTCTAGCCTGTGATCCTCCATTTCTAGTCATGGAATGTTTCCAAAATCTGTAGTTTAGTTCTATTCTATAGAACTAAAATTTGAATTTTATTTGTACAGGTAGTCCTCAAGTTGCAAACACAATTAAGCCCAAAAATTATGTTGCTAAGTGAAATATTTGTTAAGTGAGCTTTGCTCCATTTTACAACCTTTCTTGCCACAGTGGTTAAATGAATCACTGCAGGTATTAAGTTAGTAGCACAGTTGTTAAATGAATCTGGCTTCCCCATTGACTTTGTTTGTCAGAAGATCACAAGAGCTGATCACCTGTCCCCAGGACACTGCAGTCGTCATAAATATGAAACAGTTGCCAAGCATCTGAATTTTGATCAGGCGACTATGGGGATTTTGCAACAGTCATAAGTGTGAAAAATGGTCATGTCACTTTTTTCTGTGCTGTTGTAACTTGGAAGGGTCACTAAATGAACTACTGTAAGTCGAGGACTACCTGTATAGTACATATTGTAACAGTAATAGTATGTTGAATGTTGAATGGCATATACATGATAAACATTTAGGTATAGAATTCAAGTGAACCTATACAGACAGATGCTGAGCAGTCTCTTTGTTATTAACCTCCAGGGACCACTACTTGAGTGCTGTAACGTGGGTGACTGATGAAAGAATTTGCGTGCAGTGGCTGAGAAGGATTCAAAACTTTTCTGTGCTCACCATCTGTGACTATAGCGGCGCATGGCACTGCCCAAAGGTACAGTGGAGATGGATTGTAGACGTTGAAGGGGGAAGATTGTTTCAACAGTGCAAGCAGACCGTGGCATCCTTCTGGTTGTTAGTGGGCAGGGCTTGGTAGATGGGATAAATAATGGAGTTGGTGGAGGGATGCTTGGGGAAACATTGTGTGATTTAGGAATGGGAGAGGCAGATTTGAGGGGTCCTTAGTGCTCTCTGAGCTTCATTGTTTTCTTACAGATGTTTCATTACCCAACTAGCTAATATAATCACAGTTACTACCTGATGATACCTACTAATGAAATACCTGCAAGAAAACAACCAAGCTCAGAAAGTATCAAGAACCCCACAGTTCAGCCCTGAGCTACAAATATTCTCTTCTAGAGGCAGATTTCCACAGTAATCAGCAACTTACGCTGGTTGCCAGTGTAGCCTTACCTGGACCGTGAAGTCTGACAGCAGAATCTCTCACCCTTATCCCGTAGACATGCTCTGCATGGGCCTATTTTTGAAAATAGCTTGGAAACTGTGGTTGGTAGTGGCCAGGATATTAGCAGGTAACCCTGTCATAACCCTGATTCTCTGGTTGCTTCATTGGATACGAATAGATTTCTGAGTTGAATTCAGAGTGTTAGTTTAATGGCCCATTCATGCAAAACTGATGACTCTGTTTAAAACAGGCATTTGGTGGTGATTATCTTTTACAATGCTGTTTTTAAGATAATCGGGTTGCTAATATTTATTTGGGTAGATTTTATGTCCTTACTGTTTTTGTTTCTGTATTGTAATTCCCTAAGTCTTGGGAACTAGGTAGAGAATCAATCCATCAATTAAAAAAAGGCATCGATTTACAGAAAATTTTGTAAATATTGGCATTGAAAGAGAGAAGAGTTAATTAACAGATAGAGGTTATGAAAACAATGAAAATCTTTCCTTTTTTTTTCAGGAAAGAGAGCATCTTGAAGAAAGTAAAACTGGCTGGGTTGGCAGAGTAAGTTCAGTGATTTAAGAATCAACTTACAGGTTGCATGGTGGCCAAGCATCCTTTCCTACAGAGAGAACATGGCTAAAAAGATACCTTACCATGAGGAAAGGAAGCATTTCATTGTACCTGCTAGCTGTTTTCTATCACATCTAAATCCTTTCCTTCCTTGCCAGGTTCCAACCCCGTATTAGTGAGATAAAGACAAGCTTGGAACAACATTAGAAAAGGGTGTATATTTGAGTTTCAGGGCAGGAAAACAGCTGATTGAGTAGTTAAGTAAGTGATTAAAAGCGCTTGCCAACAAACTACCTGGACAATAGTGTAAGTTACTGCTTTGTAATATATAGTTTAATATACAGATAGAAAGTTAGCTCTTCTTAATAACTATTTTTTTTCCAAGTGAAAAGTTTTGGATTTTTGGGGATTTTGGATTTTTTCCAAGGCCATTTAGAATTGCAATTATAGTCCCACCCCCCAATATGAGAAATACACTGGTTTCTCAACTTTTTAATTAAGACTATAACAAAGTCTTTTTTATAGTCTTTGTTATACTTTACAGATATAATATGGGACCTATGTCTCTCTCACATTTCTGCAACAGTTGTAAGTGTGAAACCGGTCATAAGTCACTTATTTCAGTGCTGTTGTAACTTTGAATGGTCACTAAAAAAAATGGTTGTAAATTGGTTGTAAAATGAACAGTTGTAAATCTACTATATTGTCAGTAGATTGCAAGGTTCTGTCCCTAAAAGGAGAACACGTTTATAGGAACAAGGAGTTGTACAATAACATCACTAGATCTATATATAAGAATAATGCTTTTTTTCTTTCCTCGTTTGCTTAAAAGAGTCATGATTTTTTTAAAAAAGCATCAAATATAGATCTGCCCTGCAAAAATAATGGAAGTTAGTATCTTCTGCTGTCAAGCCTAATCAGAAAAGAAAGACCTTAATATACCTAACACATTTTAGCTCTACATGATAAAATCTCAGGAAGTAACATGATAAGCAGATTGTGTGTGGTGTGAACAGTTAAGCAAAAAGAAAGGAAAGAAAAAATGAAGGAGTATAAATCTACTGAAAAGAAAAGAATAGGTTAACATTATTGTCATGCTTGTTCCACTATGGTTTATATCAGGGGTCTTCAAACTTGGCCCTTTTATGACTTGTGGACTTCAACTCCCAGAATTCCTCAGCCAGCGTGCCTGGCTGAAGAATTCTGGGAGTTGAAGTCCAGAAGTCATAAAAGGAATAAGTTTGAAGACCCCTGGTTTATATGTTCATATGTCGGTTGCAGCATATGTTTATATGTCGGTTGCAGCAAGAAAGTATAAGGTATCCCATTACTCTATAAGACACATTACCTGGAACCTCTTTTGTTTTAACTTTCCCTGAAAATTAGATTGAGATAGAATAAAAAATGGGTAGAGCCAGGAATAAAATAATTTGGATGGACATGGATCTCTCTTGGTTTTGTTGAGCTACCTCTCCAACTCCCATCAATACTAGTCAGCTGATGGAAATGGATACTAGAATGCTTATTCTTTACAAGAAAAAAACTTCAATTTTTTTTTTCAGAAAGACAAAAAAACCTAAACAAAACATTTAAAAATGTGCATTAAAAAAAGACAAAAACACATATATGTATATTGCCACCCCCCCCCCAGTTGAATACTGATAGATGTATTACAACAATAATAGTGTGGCATTTTTGAAGAAAGGTGTTCCAAAATATTTTTTATTCACTTGTAATTCATCTCTTTACCAAGTATTTAAGTTTACGTTTATATGACACACTAAATATTGTTGCTGAATGCAATAAATAAGAACAAAACCAATTCTAAGAATGAACTATTGTTCCAACAATTCTGAGAAGATAACAGTGAGCAATTTGTTCACTGGTGATTTTATGAGGATGTTAATGGGTTTTTAAAAGCAATTGCTTGACATGTTTTGTGGAATTATTCAAATGGGTATTCAGAGTTCTACTGTACTGAAATAAATTTGTTGTCTGCAGTAAATTATGAAGCGTGAAAAAAAGATGGTTTTTACTCAGTTGGAATATTTAATGAGATTAAACTTCAAATAAGATAGTGACACTGATTGCAAAAATATTCTCTGCATTTATCAACAAAATAGTTTTTCTCAGGCAAAATGTCTTCCAGGAAAAAAAAAATCAGTCAATTCCTAAAAGTTTTCTTAAAGACAAACTTGAAACTGCTGACATAGAGACACTTGAAGGTAAATTACATGTGCTAAGAATTGGCACACTGACTCGGTTTGGTGAGCTAATCAATTTGAAGATTGCTGTATGGATGATTAAGCCATTCAAGCTATGTGATATAGATGTGTCAAGAGGAGACAAATACAAAACCAGTTTCAATTGAGAAGTTTATTTACAACTCTGGTTGAACAAGAAGATGTCAGTGGCTGTCGGCAGTACTAATTTCCCCAATTCATATTTTGTTGAGCCAGTTTAAGTAAAAAAGAAAGCAGAAAGAGGTCTTCATGTGACCATATCAACTTGAAACCCTAACAATTATTCTCTTGGTAAAGAATATCAAGTGCTAAATGAAATGAAAAATAAGAGAGAAATTATTTTAATGTTGTTTCGAACATCCTAACCCTGTAGCCTGCACACCACTCTGAATGCCAAAGAACATCTGAGTTTGAATATTCTGATAAACAACTAGAATTACCTTAAGAAGCGGGATATTATGTAAGGAGAAAATAATAGGACTTCGTTTCAGGATTCAACTTATTTCTTTGAGATAGAGAACTGCCCCCAATAGATATTGTGTTAGAATTTAATTTATTTTGTCTTTCTGTATTAAAAGTCTCATTCTCTCTTACTTCCATTTTAGTGGACATTTGGACGTTTTGCACAATATCAGATTGAGTTCAAGATTTTCTTTTCTTTATTTATTTCTTAGGAGTTGATATGCACCTTGAAAAAATCTTCCCATTCCTGAGATCAAAAATATATTTTTGAGTCATTTTTTAAAAATATGATGTGATTTTGTTGATTATATATTTATTGTTATTATTCAAACTTATATATTATTTGTAATTACATATAATTCATTTGTAATTGAACTGTCTTCCCAAGGGAAGGAAAAAGACTAAACCCTAGTCATGTGTTTATTCTACAAAACCTTTTTATGTTGCATTCTAGAAATTTTTTACTTTTTACTGATCAGATGGCTGTAAGACAATGGAGCCTATCCTTCAGAGATTATGGTTAAGGGAGTGACAGGTGAAGAACCTTTTAGAACAGAGGTCCCCAACCTTTTGGGCACCAGGGACCGGTTACATCAGTGTTTCTCAACCTTGACCATTTTAAGGCATGTGGACTTCAACTCCCAGAATTCCACAGCCAGCAGTGCTGGCTGTGGAATTCTGGGAGTTGAAGTCCACATGCCTTAAAATGGTCAAAGTTGAGAAACACTGGGTTACATGGAGAGAGGTTTTTCCGTGGACTGGACAGGGCGTGGTTTTGTGTGCTGCCTGCATCTCGCTGATGGAGCTTGGCTTGTTTATGCAGACCAGTTTCTAGCATGCCACGGCCCGGTACTGGTCCACGGACTGGGGGTTGGGCACCCCTGTTTTAGAAGATAGATGGTGGCACTGGTAACTGAGAGGCAAAAGACTTTTGGCAGGGTCTTTTTAGTGTTGCCTAGATCAAGAAGTTACCTGTGTGAGGAAGTTTGAAATCCCAAATCTTTCACTTAGCCTTATTTATGCCACATCAAACATAATTTTCTTTTCTTTTTTCTTTTTTTTTTGTAAATAGGTTTCTAAGAATAACAAATTCATTTCCTTGAAATTTGTTAATACGCTATATAGAAAATTTGACTTAAAATCTAACAATAAATATAGTTAATGATTGACAGTACCAAAACCTAGCAATTGTAACGACAGTATCGATTTAAAAATTAGAAAAAGTGACAATTTCTTTGCGTAGTACAGTGAACTTTCTGCAGATGTAAAAATATTGAACAACTAGGTCTTCTGCCAAAAAAAAAAAAAGGCTGAATATCACTGATCCAACTCTCTAAAATGTGTGGAGAATAGTATTAAATCAGTATTAAATCAGTGATACATTCAGTTAACAGAAAAGCTACTGGACAAGCCATTCTTCTCAGCAGAGAAACATAAGTAAGCATGCTCAGTATAGAACAGTTGAGCTGAATCTTTTGATTAAATTTCAGTGGTTGTGAACTTTCAAGTATCAGAATTTGAGAAGATGAAATTGGGCAGAGCTAGACTGTTGGCATCTCTTTGCTTCCTTCAAATTATTTATTGCTTTGTAAATATTCAAAAGTCTGTATGTCAACAAATCATAAATTATTATTTCCTTTTTAATTAATTACCTTCCATTTCTTATATTACCAAAACAACAAAAGAAAATAAAAAGTAAAGAAAAACGAACTGTTAAAGACCTTCTGTGCATGAAAGAAAAGAGAAATAAGAGTCATGTAATTGCAATTCACTAATGTTTCATACTGAAGAGTCTATAAAAACAGCCAATGCCAGAGTAGAAACCTATTTCTTTTGTCCCATTTATTTTGAAAACTTTAGGAATATCTTGTTCTTTGGGAAATAAAAAAATATATATTTTTAATCCCTGAACAAAAATCTAATAGTCAGTGTATTTTTCTGAGAGGTTAAAATTAATAAACCTATGAAATAGTATATTTATTAACCATTATATCTATAAACATGTTATTCTTCTTTTTCGCAGTTTCAGCCATCTGAACCTTACTTTACTTCTGATAAAATCAGCTACTACAGAATTATCAGTGATTCAGAGGGATATAAACATATTCACTACACTGATAGTACAGGAGTAAGTAATGATTATTTGTGTGTGTTTCTTTATGTCTGTGCATGGATGTTCATAAGGAAGGGCAAAGAGAGGCAAATGATGACACCTGTGTAATGTCATCACTTAATGCCATGGCTTATGTCAGGGGTGTCAAACTCGCAACGTCACATGACGTGTCGCGATGTATCACAACTTTTTTGCCATTGCCGGCAATAGGGTGGGCACGGTTTCACGATGATGCATCCAGCCCATGGGCTGGCAGTTTGACACCCCTGGCTTATGTACTTGCATAAGACATAATGGAAAGCATTTTTTGTGATAATGTCATTATCGTTTTGGAGTTATCAGAGTTTGTCGTAGACATTGTTTTGTGTATGTATGTGTAATTTTACATTAATGGAGATTCATGTTTTATCTACTCTTTATACTTAGAAAGTTAAACCTATTACAAGTGGAAAATGGGAAGTAATCAGTATAGCTGCCATAACAAATAATAGCCTGTGAGTATCCATTGATAACTTTTGAATATGTGTCTATGTAACAAATGCATAAGCCATCTCTTTCTAGAGATAGCCTTTTCTGTTTGTTCTGCTTTTATCTGTGGTATTAAAATTGAGACTGGATGAGAAGCATAAGAAATTTTGCCGTGGCAATGTTATGCTCCCTTGCCTATTATGCAGATTGTGCTGACCTTCCTTTCCTTTGATTTATGTCTTCCTGATAAGCTCAAATCTCAGTGTCTCTTGAGATATAAATCTTCTTTCCCAATCTCATTAAGGCAAGTTGTTTTACATCCCACTGAATTCCCTGTGACAAGTTAATCATTACTAATTTAAGCTTTAAGATTTCAGTAAGACCCAAATGCCACTAATTTTAGTTGAACTGGAAGCCTATGTGTCAAAATAATCCATGCTCAATGAGTAATATTCTGCAATAGAATGGCAGTGAGGCACATTGTCTTTTATCCATGATTATGAAAATAATATTCTCTTTCCCCCACTATCTGCTTTCCTTACACAGGGCCCACTGTTAATACTTTTTATTACATTGCAATCAGGAAATGCAACATCGCATCATCAAATAAGTATAACAAATATACAATCTATAGATGTAATACAAAGCAAGCATAAAATGCAATAATGTAACATAAACATGCTTAACCCCCCCCCCCATTGCATACAAATCTAAACAAAGTCAACAACAGATTGTAGCTATTTAAGAAATAAATCCTGGAATGTTTCACCAGTTTTTTTCCTACAAGTTAGTCACCTATTATATTTTCTCTTGATGAGATGTTCCATGGAAAGTGTATTAAAATTGTTGAATACATTCCTCTGATTTAATATTTGTTTATTAAAACTGCTAAATAACTAATATATTCTCTATAGGAACTCTATAGGCTCAATGGAAAAAATGATATTCAGAATTAGAGATCTGTGCTGAAAATGGTCTGCTAAATAATTGGTACACTTGTTTCTCCTTTATATAACACATTTGTATCACTCCCAGCTGATACACAATGACTTGGAGTGGCTTACAAAATTAAAAATTCACAATAAACTTTCTCCTTTGCCTACTACTTTCTGCTTAATGAGATGCTTTTCCTTTTTTGTGGTAACATAATGTCTTTTCTAGTTTCATTGCAACATAATGTATTTTCCAGTTCTCATGTAGAATTGCACTTTATTACTTAACCATTTAATCTTTTATAGCTACTTCTGTATTATTGTCCTAGGCCATTTTTATTACAGTAAACTAAATGATTATCAGGATGAGGTATTAATCCACAAATAACCCATTTGCTTATTTCACAGATACTTTATTAGTAATGAATTTGAAGGTAGACCAGGAGGAAGACATCTTTATAAGTAAGATGCTTTTTTATTATGGTTTTGCTATACAGAGCATACATAATATATATCTTTAATTTTCACATTTTTGAATTGCCTACCTTCACTTTGCTCTAGTATTTAAAATACTAGTTTAGGAACCAGGAGACTATGAGTTTTAGTCCCACCTTATGCATGAAAACTGGCTAGGTGACTTTGGGACAGTCAGTCTCTTTCGTGGTTATTGTTGTGGGGAAAATAGGAGAAAGAAAGAAGATGAGGTTTGTTTGCCACCTTGAGTTAGCATAAACAATAATCACTGTGGGATAAAAATCAAATAATACCCTAATACAAGGGTGATGATAATGATATAAAAATTCTAAATTCAAAATTAAATTATGGAAATACAAGCTATAAATGATGAGTGATACAAGTAATCAAATATGCTGATGGTGGAGTAAATTGGACACAGCTTGAATTGAACTATTTAGATAAGAAAAACTATGAAATAATGGGTCCATGGAATAATGTTGATTGACAATATTTAGTACTAAAATACTGGAGCCCTTGGTTTACTGCAGATAAAGTAGACAATTGAAGAAAAAAAGAAGATAAATCTGAATTAAATATGAAGGAAAACAAAGAGAAAATGTCCATTGTAATTTGCAAAAAAAAAAAAAAAGCAACCCACCCTCAGAGTAACAAAGGCAAAAATTGGGTATGAAGTTGAATTGTTAGAAAACTGTTTAGAAAATTGAAGATGTAAACCATGACATTGCTGGCAAAAACAAAACAAAACATGAAGCATTGGCACACACAAGTAAAAATTATCCTGGCTGTTATAGGGTTGCAAAGAAAAGAAAACTGATAAATTCTCCTGTTGAAATCAAAAGTATTTGTAGTAGTGTGCCTTCCTGATGTGCAGTAGAGTACTGATTTCTTCTGCCGTTCTCTTTTCCACATTTTTGCAGAGTGGACTTAAAAAATGACTTGAAAAAAATATGTATCACTTGTAATTCAAAGGAGGAAGCATGTCAGTATTTCTCTGTATCCTTCAGCACAGATTCAAGATATTATAAATTGAATTGTTACGGTAGGTAATGCAGACTCCTATCCATACAGAAATACAATTTGATCCTTAAGATCCTAATATTTTCATGATGCTTCTCCAATCCACGATTCAAAGAACTATTGTTGTTTGGATGGCCACAAGCACAAACTTTTTCAGCTGGGATACCTGGGTCATTGCCATCACCATTTGGTGTTTGTTTGTTTTTAAATTGCTTTTTTATTCTTGCTTTTCCTCTGAGAAGTCAAGGCATCTGAAGCTGTTAAAAAATCACTAGCCTCAGAGGAACAACTTTGTGATATAAATTGGGCTGAGAGAAAGGGATTGATCCAAAGTCACCCAGTGAGCTTTAAGACCAAGGGAAGGTTTGAAGCTAGGTCTCCCTACTTCCAGTTACCACTGGAATCATCATGAGAACTAGAAGATGGGCCGCAATTCTGCTCTTCTTATATATTGATGAAAAAGTCTCCACTGGTTTAAAAATGAAGGGTATCACAGTGCACCATGAAACAAAGTTATTTTTAAAAGACCTACTAGAAAACAGAGCTACTTTTCTTCCATTTTCTTCTTATTTGGCAGCATTAACCAGAACAGAAGCAGTTGGTTTGGCCGCTGTTGAGTGACAACATAAAACTGTTGAATCTAAGCATTTGCGATTTGGTAGAATTTATGCCCGTAAAAGAGTCCAGTATGCCTGAATATTTACTATTAAGAAGTAAAATGATATTGACTATCCCCATATACTTTATAGGAATATTGTTTATGGAGAGAGGCAAGCAGGGACAAGCTCTTTGAGATGTCTGTGGGGGGAATAATACCAGAATGTGATAGGCCAATGCTGTTCTAGCACACACACACACACACACACACAAGATCTCTGGAGAGAGAACTATACTGAGAATATGGCAGCTTCTTTACCTCAGTCACTAGCAGCAGAGGGCGGCTGCAGAAGTTGCATTAGGAGAGCACTCTTGTTCCTGACATATAGGTGGACATGACTTTCCACCCACCCACCCACCCTTGTATTGGGAGACATGTTCCTCTCCTACCCACATTTGTTGGAATTTGCTGCCCCTGCTACTATTGTTGCTTCTCACATTTCCCAAAGCAGCCATTCTCTTCCACCTGAACCGCTGCAGAGGGCAAGGAAGTCCTGATAACTGCTGCCTGTCCTTCTTTCTCCTCTTGGTGCTGGGAGGAAGTTTAAAGGCAGCAGGGATTTCCCACACCCACACCCACACTGCCTTCCTCCTGATGTGATGGCATCACGGTGTAGGGCTATGAGCTTAGTCATACTTCCTTCTTAACAGGGAGGATCCATAAGCAGCCAATCAAGATTGGCAAGTTGCTCCATCACTGGATATTTTTAAGAACAGACATACCATTTGTCAGAAATGGTATAGGGCAGGGGTAGGCAACCTTGGCTCTTTTATGACTCGTGGACTTCAACTCCCAGAATTCCTGAGCCAGCATAGCTGGGAGCTGAAGTCCACGAGTCATAAAAGAGCCAAGGTTGCCTAGTCCTGGTATAGCAGGGACTTGGACTAGAAGGCCTCCAGGGTCCTTCCCATCTCTGTTGTTCTGTTTGCAATAGTAAGATAGAGGTGATAGAAAATATGGGCCATATGTTGCCATTGGATCAGGATTTTGAGGTCCTTGTTCTAACAACTACACTGTGCTTTGGACATCCATACAACAGATGTGAAGAACAAAAAAAACTGATTTTTTGGTTGGTCAGAACAAAAAGACAAAAAAAAAAAACCCCACCCTCCAGTTTCCAGCTTATTAGCTGATATTACTATTAGTATTAATTTGTTAAAGAGAAAGCATTTTTGTGTACAGAATAGGAAAAAAAAGATACACTAGTGACCAGCTTATTCCAAAATCATAAAATTAGTATGACAATTGGTATTAGTGGGTTCAATTGAATGCACTTTTTAATCATTCATTTATCTTAAATATATTTATGGAGTAAATATATTTATGGATTATGAGTACCCCATTAAATAATCTTTCCACTAAATCATTGATAAAAACTGCAAAGGAAGAAAATGCAGAATAAAATGCAAAACATAAGAACATCTCAATCAAAACACATTGACAAAGAAACAAAAAAATAGCAATAACTGGGATAAAATTAACCTGTAAAAAGTTAGCTTAATTAATTGAATTTTTTTTAACACTGCGAATAACAGGTCCTGACGTGCCCTACTTCACCTTGCAAAACAGCATTACAGACAAAGGTATTTTATTTTAAAAATTTTCCTCTTCTGGAAGAATGGGAATGCATGTCTGTTCTGGGATATTTGTGATTTAGCGTTTGTAATATTTTATCCATACATATCTTGCAGTAAGATCAATTATACATAATTAGCTTTATTTCTGATATGAATGCATGAGATTACACTTTGGTGATGTAATTCAGTGACCACCCCCAGTTGGGTGCCATACAGGTGTTGGACTTCAGTTCCCATCACACCTGACAGCAACTCAAATTGCTGTTTGGCTGTAAACAATGGGACTTTTAGCCTAGCATGTCTGCAGGGCACCAATTTAAGAAAGCTTGAGGTTTTTTTTTTCCTAATGCACATCAGTTAGAAGTAGATCCATGGGGTAGAATGAGATTCATTACTAAGAAGCCGTAACCGTTGTGTTAAAGGCATCAATCTGATATGTCACTATAATTTATATAACTTGACGAGAAAAAAATGATAAGAGTTTGTGTGTATGTGTGTAAAACAGGAAGAAAACGTACAGTTCATTTTTCCCATCATACAGGGAGATACACACAGAGTTTGATACATGTGTGTCTATGTGTCTGTGCATACATATTGCAAGGAGATCAAATTTCCAATAGTAGCTGACAAAAGGGTATGGATCTGGGACAAGAGGCTGTGATTGTTTTAGAAAAAAACCCTTCTTTGTGCAGCAATTCTGACAAGCTGAGATTGTTGCCAGCTGAGCTCATGTTTTTTGAGCTGGTGCTACTTAGTTCTTGAATGTTACACCATTGTTGAGAAACACTCCAGTTGGTATGAAAAGAAATATATTTGTGGAAACGAATTTGGATTGTTCTTTCTGTTGATTTAAGTGTGTGTCTTTTGCTCTTCTTTTTCCTTCCTTGCTTGTAATTAATGCTTGAAATCAGAGGCATTTTTTTCATCAATCATCTCTTACGCATGCTTACTAGGAAGTAAGTCCTAGATAGGAGGCACAATGGCTTAGCGATTAAAGATGCTGAGCTTGTCAGCTGAAAAGTTGAGAGCCCGGGTTTGAGGCCCAAGTGCTGCAAAATGGGGTAAGCTCCCATTATTTGCCCCAGTTCCTGACCATCTAACACAGACATGTCACATCACGTGACGTCGCGAGATGAATCGGGACTATTTTGCCATTGCTGGCAATGGGGTGGGCGCGGCTCCAGTATGATTAAACCAGCCTGCAGGCAGTTTGATACCCCTGATCTAACAACTCGAAAGCATGCAAATGCAAGTAGATTAAATAGGTACCACTTCAGTGGGAAGGTTGCGTGCATCTTGGTGTATAGTCATGTTAGCCACATGACCATGGAAATGTCTTCAGACAACACTGGCTCCCTCAACTAAGAAACAGAGATGAGCACCGCCCTTTAAGTAATTGATTTTTAAAACCAGCTCTCTAAATTTTTAATTCTTTGATTATAACTTATCAAATATACCTGTTTTAATCCTAGCTATTAAGACCCTAGAAGATAACAACAACTTGAAAAATGCATTGAAAGAAATTCAGATGCCCTGCAAAAGACTGAGAAATATTACTCTGCATGGACAAAGTAAGTTTGCAAGTTGAAACAAAAGGAAGCAAATCATTTTTTAAAAGTTGAATAAAACAATATATTTACATAGCCTTTTGAAACCATAATTTTGAATGAAATGAATGCTTGTAGCTCTTCGTTATTATCAACAGTGCCTCAGAATTTTTTCCCCCTGTGATTCATAACAGGAAAGGAGCCATTAGGCTTAAGAATTTGTAATATGAGACATTGTAAATAAAGACCAAGCAGCTTGCTCAGCCAGCATTGCTGTAACCAGGATTATCTTTTTCTTGCTATCTCCATGAATTCATGCTTTAGAGGCTGTAAACCATTTCAGGTGTGCTGATTCAGGATATGTGACATCTGCAGCCTGAGTGCAGTTCTGATTATTGTCATGCTGATACCTATCAGTTTCAGCTTGCACTTTGGACTGGGAAAGTCAGTACAGTCAGCAACACATAAGAGTAGTGGTTGCTCTGAAACATTTGCCTTAATTCAGAAGGGCAGAAAGAGAGGCTGTGGACCCGCCTGGCAGTGCAGTTGAACGCTGTGCTTAGAAAGTTGTCTCACTCACCCCTCTCCAAATCTTCCTTCCTTCCTTCCTTCCTTCCTTCCTTCCTTCCTTCCTTCCTTCCTTCCTTCCTTCCTTCCTTCCTTCCTTCCTTCTTTTTGTTTTTTTTTTTTACAAATAACTCAAGATGGTGAACATATCCAACACACCTCCCTGTTCCTCTTTTCCCACAATAACAAGAACCTTGTGAGATGAGTAAGGCTGAGAGAGAGTGACTGGCCCAAAGTCACCCAGCTGGCTTTCATGGCTAAGGTGGGACTTTTTAGCCTGGTGCCTTGACCACTAAACCAATCCTTTCCTTTCCCTTTCCCTTTCCCTTCCTTCTCAATTGACAAGGATGCAGCATATCATCAAGAGGCCATCCAAACAAAATGTAATCCTTCCTTCCTTCCCATTCCAAAATATTGCTAATCCCTCCTTCTTGTCTCTTTCTTATCCACTCTCTTTGTGTGGAGCTTGGCTTCTTCTTTTTCTACTAGAATTTGTCCTTGTCACCTCAAAGATCATCTTTTTCCAGTCCCTCCTGATTCTTCCCAGTCTATTCACTCTCTTCAAGTATCCATGCCTTCAATCATAGCATCTTTCCAGCCAGCCAGCCAGCCAGCCACCCCATCTATTGGAAGGGTGCAACGTCTTTGCAGTGCTGCTGTTGTTGTTTTCTTTAGTAAAGAGAATTCTGTTCTTAATTAGTAGCTTCTGCTACTAATGAGAGAAAAAAAAGATTGTACCTTTCTCCCCCACCATTCACTTTGGAATAAGGAGAAAAAGCAACTTCCTTCTTTCCTTTGTTCAAAAAAGAGGCATCATTTTTTTTTCCACCAGCGGGAGAGGCTATAAACCAAAATAATAGTGTCATAGCACCCTCTGTTGATATTTAAAAAAACAAACACAAACATCACTCCCCCAAATAAAATATAATTTAGTAATCATTCAAAACAGAAAATAAAAGAGAAGCATTAAAACATCAGTGAATAAAGTATGAAACAAACAGCATTTGGCTCTGACCATTTTCATGCTGTATAAAGCACAGGGCTGCCTTCAAACTGATGGAAGACCTCAAGAGATGCTTCTCTTTCTTTCTTACTTTCTACTCCACCGTGCCTCCCAGGTGATAATGCAACACAAAACTGGCTGTAAGAGATATTGGCATTTGGAGAAAGCCTATTTGAAATTGTTCTCAAAAGGTGACTTATTTTTGGCTAATTTTGCAGTGTTTTATTTGAATGGAGATAACAAGTAGTATCAACCATTCGTTTAGTGACTGTTTGAAGTTACAACAGCGCTGAAAAAAAGTGTCTTATGACTGCTTTTCACGCTTAACGACCATTGCAACATCCCCATAATCATGTGATCAAAATTTGGACACTTGGCAACTGGCGTGTATTTATGATGGTTGCAGTGTCCCAGGATCATGTGTCATGTTTTGTGACTTTCAGACAAGCAAAGACATTGGGTAATAATTAATAATTATTAATAATTAATAATAAACCATGTTATTAACATAACAATTGTGGTGGTTCACCTAACAGCTGTGGTAAGAATGGTCTTAAAAGGGAACAAAGCTAACTTAACAATTGGCTTGCTTAGCAACAGAAATTTTGGGCTCAGTTGTGGTCATAGGTCAAGGACTACCTGTATGTAGTTTTCCATTTGCCTGATCGATGCAAGGGAAGTAGCACCTGGTCTAATTTTTCATTCTAGTCCCCTTATTCAGCTGCCGCAACAGCTATGCTATTTGCAAGCCTTGATTAATATGGAGTAACTGTACTTTTCTGCAGCCAATTCTTTCAGAGGATTTCTATGATAAATAAATATAACACTGAAAGTTATGGAGGTCAAAGACATTTCCTTACATGGAAATGTGTACAAATTTCAACCTTCACAGTCATTGTCCATTAATTATCTAATGTATTATCATAGAATCTGAGAGCTGGAAGAGACCACAGATCCAGTACAGCATCTCTAACAGATGACCATACAATTCCATCAGAAGACTTGGAGCGAAGGAGAACTAACCATGTCTTGTGACACTCCACTATCTGACAGCTCCTACTGTCAGGAAGGGTTTCTTGGATGTCTAGTCTGATTCAGTTTTCTGATCCAGTCCTCTGGGACAAAAGAGAATAAGTTCATTCCCACTTCCTATATTTGAATGGTAATTAAATTTCTCCATCCTCATCTTTTTTGTAAACATATCCAGATCCTTTCACTGTTCCAATAGAACTTGGTTTCCAGACCCTTCCCCAACTTGTTAGCTCTTCTCTAAACTTACCGTAATTTGTTACAATCCTTTTAGAAGTGGGTGCTCTAAATTGGATACATTATCACAGTGTTTCCCAAACTTGACAATTTTAAGGCATGTGGAATTCTGGGAGTTGAAGTCCTCATGCCTTAAAATTGTCAAGTTTGGGAAACACTGCACTATCATAAATGTTGACCAAGGCAGAGTGGACTGGAACAATTACTTTATATGCTTCTGTTAATGTACCCTAATAGAGCTTTTTCATACCTGCATCATACCCTTAGCTTGGGTCAACAAGGATACCCAGATCTTTTGCAGTATACCGAACCAGCTCCCATCTTATACTTATGGCTTATATTTTTTTAATATTCAAATGCAGAAATTTACATTTCTTTACATTTTATTTCTTTTCCATTATATTCAGCACATGCATATCACCCCACTGCTCAAATGTGGCTGGAACCTTTTGAACCTCTTTTTTTCCACCTAAAGTATTAACTACTGTTCCCAGCTTTTTATCCTCTGTATATTATTTAAGTCTCTTTAAGTGTCTTCTCAACTCACTCATCCAAGTCTTTGATGAAAGTGTTGAATAGCACAGAATCTAGTGGCACTCCACTCAGTACTTCCCTCTAAGCCAGGGGTCTTCAAACTTGGCCCTTTTATGACTTGTGGACTTCAACTCCAGGGTTGATCTCTTCTAGGACTGCCCGGTTTGATTACCTTGCAGTCCAGGGGACTCGCAGGACTCTTCTCCAGCACCATAGTTCAAAGGCCTCAATTCTTTTGCGCTCAGCCTTTCTTATGGTCCAACTTTCACAGCCATACATTGCAACTGGGAAAACCATGGCCTGGACTATACGCACTTTTGTTGGCAGGGTGATGTCTCTGCTTTTTAGAATGCTGTCTAGATTTGACATAGCTTTCCTCCCCAGGAGCAAGTGTCTTTTAATTTCTTGGCTGCAGAATTAATGCATATTTCATGTTTTTGTTTGCTTTCATGTTGTTCTTCTTATTTTCAGCATACTGGTATCAGATGATATTGCCTCCTAATTTTGATGAGTCAAAAAAGTATCCCTTGCTCATTGATGTGTAAGTCAAACTACCTTTTTACCTTTGTTTATGCTCATGTTACCAGTGATGTTTATTGTTATGTATTATCTGCCTAATGCTTCGTGGATGCTGTACAAAGGTTTAAAAAGCAAGACAGGTTTAGTCAAACTGGTTTATTTAGGTCTCAGTTCTAAGTGCTACAGATTGTCCCCCTGAGAACCAGCTTGGATGCAGACAGTTCAGGGAGATGCAAGCCATCATTCAGCGGGCTGATGGCCCATTTCTTCCACCCAGAAGGCATTGTTGCTAATAAATTACTGTTGAGGAAGAGGAGGAACTTATTGGCATCTGGTTTCATATTCTCTCAGTGGGCTGTGATGGAGTCATCAGAAAAATACAAGCAACAGCTTTGCACTAGTAAGATTAGAAGAAAAAGAGCTGGCAGTATAGCAACAAAAAGATTTCTAAGCAATTTCATCAACAAACAAACTTTAAGGTGCTTCAAGACTTATTGCCTTTACCAGAAGAGTTTGATTTGCCTGTTGCTCTGCAAATTATCATGATGACAATTAATTTATGAGATAGAAAAGAGTTATCAGAAATAGGATGATCAGATATAGATTATAAAAAACCAAACCATTGTTAAAGATCAGCAAAGAGTTTTCTGTGTTTCACTGGTGCCATCTAGTGGTTGTTCAGAAATTGCACTGATCGTTAAGGCTGCCCTGAACATGTCACGATGGTGTTAAAAGGCAAACCTCACTCTTACATATACACATCAGGCACAAAGGCATAAGCTTTAGCAATTGCATCATGCCACATAGTTTGACAATCCCTCAAAAGTCTTGGCTCCATTGTCTTCAAATTGTTCCAACCAATGAGATACAGATAGTTCTCACTTAATGACCACAACTGAGGCTAGAATTTATTTATTTATTTATGAGACTTATATACCGCTTTAAGTGCAAGCACTCTCTAAGCGGTATACACCAGTAAGCAATGTATATATATATTTACATTGCCCCCAACAATCTGGGTCCTCATTTTACCTACCTCGGAAGGATGGAAGGCTGAGTCAACCTTGAGCCGGTGAGATTTGAACCGCTGACCTGCTGAACACAGTCAGCTAAAGCGTTGTTGCAGTCATTAAGCAGAACACCCTGTGACCTGACTTGATTTTATGACTGTTTTTATGACGGCCATAAAGTGAAACATCATTAAGCAAATAATGTCATTAAATAAATCCATTCCCCCAAATGGGCTTCTTTCCCCCCAGGAAACCAGGAATTTGTGAAAAAAAAGGCACAAATCACAATTGTGAGACTGCAGAAAGCTGCAACTGGTCTTGAGCAATACATCCTCTTCATTCATATGTGTGTGTGTGTGTATGTGTTATGAATGTGTATGGGTAGTATATACTTTCTTTCGAGAGCAGGCAACAGAATTTCATTTTTAATGTGGGCCAGTGTGCTCACAGTAAAAAAATGACAATAAAGGTTATCTTATCTATCTTTCTGTTAAATCTCGACATATGTTGCTGAGCCTATTTAAATAAATCAGTATATAAATCAGGTTAGGACTACTGTACAGTTTGCAGTTAAGTAAAAACAATGGCCGAAGGATAGCTACTATTAGGAAAATGTGGATTAGACAATTGTACCGTACATAAACCAGTTTTACTGTACACCTGACCCTGCAAATATAATTTAAGAAATATAACAAAGAAGGCACATTTCCTGGATCCTGAACATATGCTGTTGATGCTATTCCTCCCTCACACTCTTCTGCACATATTAAAGGATTTGCATTAATTAGCTTCTTCCTGTAATCTGCAAATTACAGAAATTTGCTTTTTATAGTAAATAAAATGCAAATATTCCGTATTTGGTGAAAATTGGTTGTGCAAGGAATGTAGCATACAGTAGTTGTAAGCATTTAATTTACCTTTGTCCTGTTCATATTTTAAACATAATGTTATATAATTATCATTAGAATTATTAATCATTTCACTAATTAAAAATTTCAGTGAGCCGTAATGATCAAAGACTTATTAAAATTCTGAACAGCAAAAGTGGATCTTGGTATGTTCTTTAAATTTATTGAAGATTAGCATTTGGGTTTTAGGGTAGTACGCAGGGTGACGTGAACATGGTCACGATTCAGAGATTATCTGTTTTCAATTATGTACATTCTTCAGATGATGTATAATTAGCCTTCAGATCTATTGAAAAAACAGAGCTCTTCATTTTTGCCCTTGATCACTTTATTAAAGAGTAGAGCAGCGAAAAACATTGAAAGAGGAGTTTGCAGCTTTTGTTAACAGTAGTAAAGTAGGCATTCTCAAAGCATTAAAGCAGCTGCATCTTTCAGAAGGGCAACTGCCTTGAAGGCTGTCCATGGCGTTTGTACATTAACTGTATATGTAGGTATAGATTCTTCGTTGCATGAGTACATACACCACCAAGGACAGGCACCACCAAGGACAGGCTTTGAAGCATCCATGCAAGCCTTCCACAGGATGCAGCTGCTTTAATACTTTGAAAAGGGTGCTGTGCTTCCTCATTCTGAACAAGCTTTTCTGATCTGAGTCACAGAGCTGCCATCTTGCACCTGATCAACATTGTGTCTGGCATTAACGTAGAGACTTCCATTTGGGGAGATATCATTAGGCAGCTGATTAACAGTGTTTGTTCTTCATATATTCCAGAAATATTAATATTGTCAACGAAGAGTATTCAGTAAGGAACTGAGCAAGCGACTGTGTAGTCCATGGCTGTAAGTGCTGTAGGAGCTCCAGTAGCTATAGGCAAGAGCAGCACTCTCAAGCAGCACTTCAAAAGCCATTAATTATGTTTGCTGGGCTTTGATGCAAGACCTGATTGGCATTTGAATGTTCTGGATAAGGCAGTAGTCTGTTAGCAAATGTCGCAGTGCCAATCAATATTTGGAAAATAAATAATGGAGCATTCCATGCCTTCCATTAAGGAAAAAAGTGAAAAGGTGTGAGATATTGAGACATTCCTGCAGTGAAGCAAAAACAAATCCTTGCAGCTTAAACTCAGTGTTGCTGTATTCGCACAAAGGCCCAGGGTGATGGAATGAGAGTTGGAATGTAGAAAATATAGATTGAAACTATCTCTATGGGCAGTCATTTAAATCGACGGGACTTAGTCCTGAGCATTTAATGTTATTTGAGATTTCTTCCAGGAGCTTCATGGTTATCCTCAACTTCACATTAAATTAGATTAGGTTGTCATTTCTATAACTGAATCTTTTTCGAATAACCAGGAAGAAGACGATCCTAAATTGTCTAATAGAATAGAATAGAATAGAATAGAATAGAATAGAATAGAATAGAATAGAAACACTCATTGTGTTTCATGAGAGAACGGGGGGGGGGGTTATTGCTGACTTCCTATTGGATATGCTCTAAGGAAGGAAGTTTTTAAAAAAACCCTCATTATTTTACAAGACAATGATGGAAATAATTCAATGGAGAGAGTTAAATGGAAGTTAAAATACCATAGAGTTCTGATTACGCCAGAAAAACATCATATGATTCAATCTCACTTCATATCATTTTTGTGCTTCAGTTAAATTTTTTCCATCTAGAGCCTTCTTTGTAAATACCATTCTTATTAGAATGTATTAATTTTAACCTAAATTACTGTCTATATTGCTGCTTTTGAATTTCCAGCCATATTTGTGTATAGTGAAATAAGCATTCAATACAGCTAAAGCCAGACCAATGATAAGAAAATACAAAATCCAGCCTACCATCAAGATACATTTGATCGGCCTGAATCTCAGTTTTATTATTACAATGTTTGTGGCAAATGGGGCAGATGAAGAAGGGGTTGCTGGACATTTTCTGTTCCAACCAAAGTCCCTGTTTATATAAGAATTTGGAAAATGCAGAACAAATAGAGCACCGCCTGGGTCAAGTCAGCCCAATTTTCTTTCCACAGGTATGCAGGGCCTTGTAGTCAGAAAGCAGATGCTGCCTTCCGGATCAACTGGTCTACGTACCTGGCAAGCTCCGAAGGGATTATTGTGGCTAGCTTCGATGGTAGGGGAAGTGGTTTCCAAGGAGATAAAATTTTGCATGCGATATACCGAAGACTGGGAACCTATGAAGTCGAAGATCAGATCTCAGCAGCCAAGTATGTTTGTGCCTTATTGCCTTGGTTAGGATGGTTAACACCTTAACTGGACTTCTCCCAATGATTCTCCTTCTTGCTGAATTTTTTAGCCTTGGTTTTTCTTCATTTCTCATTTTTCTGTTCACTAACTTTTATCCTTGAACTAATCTAAAGCTTGGTTTTTTTAAAAAAAGTTTCCAAACTTACAGTAAACCTTTTTTTAAATCTAATACACAGTTTTTGCAAACAGTTAACATACAACGTAGTTAATTACTATATTTGCATGATATAAACATTTTTGCACAGACCTTTCCTTAATGCTCCCTCCTTTTTTTGATTGATGAATTGGACTGTAACTTTCAGAGAAATGAATTTTGATGGGTAGTCGAGTTAAGATTCATATATCAGTTTGAAAATGAAAATTTGATTCACACAAATACACTAATTTCTATTTCTAATCCCAGTAGCCTTCTTTCTGCTTCCTTTTGTTCTTTATTGGTACTCCAGTTCTTAAAAAAAAAGTGGAACAGGAAAAAAAAACTTGTTTGGAATAAGTATTGAACATTAATATTTATGTATTACATTTTAATACACGTATTCTCCAAGGAGCAAGGCTGGAGGGGGAAAGGAGGTTGTTGTTGCAAAGAAGAATAAGATAAGATTTTTCTGAGTATGTGAATTTTTCTGTTTGTTTTTTTTCCTAGGCTATTTTCTGAAATGAGCTTTGTTGATAAGGATAGAATAGCTATTTGGGGCTGGGTAAGTATTAAAGCTAATTGTTTTGTTCAGATTTAAATATTCTGCTGCTATTAAGAAAAGCTGTTTTACTTGAATACAACATTGTGAGAAAATGCTGTTTGTGGAGACACAGCAGATATTTTTTTACAAGATACTCCTCTATATTTTAGTTGGACCTCTTTCTAAGTAGAGAAGTGTTTCCATTCAGAGCCTGAATTATTGCTTCCATTTATCTCTCCCCACATCTTTATGCCATCTGATGGACTGCTCAGACACATAGAAACCAGAGCAGCTGGGACATTGCCTTGATCCAGTGAGACTCTTTTTTCTACATTCTCACATTCTTTAGTGGCCACAATAACTATGTCTCTGGGTTCATACTTTGCATTAAGCCATGAGTTGGTTATCCAGAGTTTATTGAGTAAACCATAGTTGGATAGGTTCACACACTACATGAAGCCATAAAGCATAGTGTACGAACTTTAATTGCTTGTTCCCAGAACAAAAGCCAAAATCAAGCAAGCTGCATTGTGTTTTACACTGAATCTATCTATGAATCTAGTCTGTCACGCTGCCCTCTTCTGTGTTTCTAGTGTAAGTTGGCTTCTATAGAAGGTTGCTAGAAATTGCAACATTTAACTGTATTTCAAATGGGTTGGGTCTATTGTCATTATATTTTTGTGATATCAATATTTTATGGTACAAGGGAGTGTCTCCTTGCACAAATACTCAAGTTCATCCTTGCAGTGGGAGAGCTATGTTAGCCTAGGCCACCTACCCCTGGCCTAGGCCAACTTAAAAAGGAGTTAAAAGCACCTTTTCCACTTACAGTCTGGCTATAGACGATAGCTCTATAAGCTAGTCTCTATGCTGTAAGCTATGTTTAGCAGAGATGTTCAACTGTTGGAATTAAACCAGCTATTCATGATACTCAACCCCCCATCCAATGAGATCAATAGACAAATTTATAAAGGCAGTTTCCAGGGAGGGTATCTTAAAAAAACAGACCACAAGAACAGAACAACAGAGCTTCACTCATTGCCGCCTCCAGCACGGAGCACAAACCATTCAAATGCCTTATTAATATGCTGTAGCTGATACAGGACAATGTTGTATTTTTTCAGGCCCACATTTGCATACAAAAAACCATCTAACCTGGAGCAGATTTTCATAAGCAACAACAACAACAAAAAAAACCAGGATAATGATGGGTACCAAGTCCTGCAACAAACCCAGATGTTTAGCTTATCCCCACATTTATACCAACAGCGCCATTGTGGGCCCCAACAAGTACACATACACAATCAGAGATGCCTTCACTTGCTCTTCCTCTAATGCAGGGGTGTCAAATTCACTTTCATTGAGGGCCGCATCAGCATTGCGGTTGCCCTCGGGGGGGCAGATGGGTGTGGCCAGGGTGGGTGCAGCCTATTGGGTAGGTGTGGATGGAGTGGGTGTGGCCTACTGGGTGGGCATGGCCAGCTCTACATTGTTCGCGTCAAGGGTGCCTGTGGGGGCCTGGGCAAGAGTAGGATAGATCTGAGGGTCTGTGGCGAAGGGAGTGGGACCGGGGCAAGCGCCAAGACTTGGTCTATTTTTTCATTCTTCACAAAAGGTGACACCTGCCCAACATGCACTCAGGGGGCGGGGCCGATGCGACAGGGGCTGGTTCCACGGCCTTGTGGAGCTAAGACTGAATGCGTTTCAGCATAGATGGCCCCCACAAGATTGTACATTGGCTCCCGGCTGCCAGGGCCAAGGCAGTGGGGGCCGTTCCCTCCTTGTTTCCAGGATGGCTTCATCCCCGGGCCTTGTGTTTGACATGTCTGCTCTAATGTGATATGCATCAGCATCTGCCCCTTTGAACTCTACCTACATAGGACAAAGTTTGCAGACACACATGCAGAATATTCATAGAGACAAGTTTGACATCAGGAATCAAAACAAGGTCAAAATAATAGAGAGCACTTCAGCCTCCTAGGACATTCATTGCAGACCTTAAAATGGCCATCTTGGAACACAAGCACTCTTAAGTGAAAGATTGCTGAACTCACAAGCATCAAATGTTTTCAGGCTAGCTCGAAAGATCTCAGCAAACAAGATGTTTTTTTATTAACACATTAAAATTGTTAATTGATAGACTTATTAATTATAATCTGTCATATGTAACCTGCATCTGTAATAACCAACCTAAATTCCCCTGTCTCAGCCTCATCACAACTTAACTCCTACTTCAGTTAGTTAATTAATTAATTAATTAAAACATTTATATAGTCACTCTTCATATAATCAACTCTGAGCAGCTACCAATCAAAGTTTTAGTTATGAAGAAGTGAACTGTTGCTGACAAAATATTTGCCTTTTAGTAAAAATGGTTAATTAGAACAGAAATTACTAGACTCCTCCTGATTCAGGTTGCCCTGAGTCGCATGTCAAGTTGGCAGCTATATAATATGAAGGAGAGCATGTGATTATGTCTCATTCTGCCTAACCCAACCTAGATATGTCTCTTTTTGAAACTAAGACTAATGGGGCTCCCTTTATATGAAGGTACTATGCAAGTTTTACAAAGGGTTTCATTACCAAAAAAGTGGTGTCAGAGCAAGCCTTGTCTCATTACTCAGCAAACTGAGATCCAAGCAAAGCTATTCTTTAACACACTTTCCCCTCCTCTCTCTCCCTCCCTCCCCCCTCTCTCTCAGAAGAATATTGCATCCCTCTTGGTCTCTTTGAAATAATAATATTTTTTTTCTCTCAGTCTTACGGAGGTTATGTAACTTCCATGGTCCTTGGAGCTGGAAGTGGTGTGTTCAAGTGTGGAATAGCTGTGGCACCTGTCTCACGCTGGCAATATTATGGTATGTGTTTATTTCACAATAAAGGAGGAAGATCCTTTGTCAAGTAATACAAAAGTCATACTGGGAAATGGTATCAAGTATGAATAGTTGAGTACATAATTCTCCCACACGAAAGTACCATTTGGTCTGTTTTCCTGAACTCATATGAGGTATTACACATTGTCCCTGGATTAATATTTTTCCCCCTACTGGAAATTTAGATTTGAAAGGAAGATAATTTGCTTAACCTTTAAATGGCACAAAATTACTTAATATTTTAAATTTTACTATAATGCAAATGTCTGCATTTGCATTCCTCAAAAGTGCCATGTGTTCCAAAGTGTGGAGGGATCATTTCTGAATGTCACAGAATTTGTTGGCACCGCTACCAACTTCCTTTATTACAATGAGCTCTGGAAAGAAGGGTCATAATTTTAATCATTTATTAGACTATTTACCAATTAAACATTACTGCTGATTGTGTCTTGTGTATATTAAAGTAGATATCAAACACTTAACATTAGTTTGCTCGATGTTCTAAAAACTCCTCAAAGGGAATTTTGAACATTAAAGCTATATATTTCTGCCTCACATTTTAATTCTAATTATGAGTTCATTGAATAAGTGATGGCTTCCTGAGCTTCTGCTTTTCATTGGGGCTATGAGAAAACATTATGTGGATAAATTTGCTGGAAGTCAGAAAGGATGACATTTAAGCCCCTCTTTTCATGCTTTCCTTTTGAATATCAGTGCTGTTTTAACTTCTGTCCTGCTTTCAATGGTTAAATTTTACTGTTTGGTTTTTAAAAAATAATTATGTAACAGAATTATTCATAGATTGCTCTCATTGCAAATGAGAGTGGTGTCTCCAGACAAATCATAACTTTGTTCTATATTTTGAAATTTTACAGAAATCTGTTTATCAAGAGGCAATACTGTATGATATGCCTATATAGACAGAAAAAGTGTTGGACTATTTTTTTTTATGCCATCTCTATCCTTCCTTTCATCAAGGGCCTCAGAGGAGCAAATATGGTCTCTCTTCCATTTTTCTTTTCAAGAAGCCTGCAAAGTGGCTAGATACTTGAAATAGTGTCATGTTGCCAGATTCCTGCTAATTTACCAGGATTTTCTCCAGCTCTTTTGTGGGACATTTCTGTATTTTCTTGCTCTGGAGAAAGGAAAACCTCCTCCTTCCTATTAGTTGGTGGATTTGCTTCTACTGATGGAAGCATAAATTTGGATCCCACCAATGAGTAGTCCAGACTCTACTGATGTATTATTTAAATTTAAACCTGGGTCTAGTCATACATAAGTCTTATCCAAGGTTTCCCAAACTGTCCGTTGTACCTCTCCTGGGGAAGTGCAGATAGAGTCCAACGGAGATGTGAAAATAAATCCACATTTCCCAAAATGTCATTGTATTGTTTACATTGCCCAGTTGGGTTCGTTTTGGTGTTTGAATTTTTAGGGAAGACCTTTACATTAGAATTACAGTAAAGGGAGGTATGTCAGAAAGTTTGGTCAGCCCTGGTTTAAGACCTTAACTATTACTTTAAACTAAAAATGGGTGAGATACAGCTATTGTCTATTCCATAGAGAATTGACTAAGGGTCTGGGGAGATTGATAAATCATCTAGTTTTTTTTATGGTTACAGACCAGGGTACCCTGGGGACAGCCAAAAACATAGCCACACATCACACACATTGCCAGATGCTCTTTGTTTGGGGATTATTTTTTTTTAAATGCTTAAAATGAAATAAACAAAAAATATGTTGAAGAGAAAAAAATCAAAAAATGTTTGATGGTTTGTTTTGATGACCCTGAAAGAAATAGCCCTGTTTTCATAGCATCCTTAGTTTATTGCCATTCAGCCAGAGAAACAAACTTAGTCAAACTTCCATTTTCTTTCCAGTTGATCAGCGAATAATATTACTTTGGCATAAGGTTGCTGAGAATAATTAATAATGCTGTTGCTATGGACAACTGCATGCTGAATATTTAAAAATGTGATTATCTTCAGTGCTTATTATTAAGAAAACAGTAAATTTGGGGGAAAACTTAGCACAATAAAGCACTCACTATATTGGTAAATAGATGCCATTGAACACTGAAGTTAAATAAGTAAGCATACCCTATAGATATTGCACAATGCCTTCTTTTTCTGTCCCCCTTCATCCTAGATTCTATATATACTGAACGCTACATGGGTTTGCCTGAAAAAAACGATAACCTGAATTTCTATGAGGTAAGGAGATGTCTTTCATACTTACTGTACAAAAATAAAACAACAGTTCCAGCTGAATCTCACTCAACCTGATTTCCATTCACCTCTTCTTCCCTGCATTTCTGCAGTCAATTTTGGATCACACGCACACAAAGTCCTACAGAACATGTGGGGAACGTGAGAAGTAAGCTGTGATAGCAATCGCCCCCCCTTTCTATCCTCCTTATAGAGAGGTGGTTATATGGTAATTTATTTAGGACATCAGAAGCAATAGTTGTTCTAGGTGAAGAATACTCTAACAGTTTCGGTTGAGTGTTGCTAATATATTCCAGATGTTTCCTAAATTATTTACAGTATTTGCTATACTGTAGAGGTTAGGTGACTGCATTTGTTTGGAATATGGATTCCATCTGTTCTCTATTAGAATATAAATATTTATAAATACCTTTTGTGAAACTGTGTCATATTAGGGAAATGAATTTGGTATGTTATTTGATATACCCTTGTGTAGAAATGTGGGTTCAGTAGACACTCTGTCTACAACCTCTGGGTTGCAATAATCTAGATAACCATTAGGTGGCAGCAAATTGTACTTTGCAGTTTTTAGTGTAATCTGAATATTTGCAGCCCAGAGATTATAAACCCTATTTAATATTATGTCACTTGGCTCATTTATCACGAGAATGTGGTTGCACGGATCTGATCAGACACTCATGAAAACATCTTTTTCTTCCCTCTTTCTTAATCTGTGGCATTTCTCCACTAAAACAGATTTAGGCATTTGTTCTTTGACTTTTGAAGTTTGCATTGAAATGGTGGTATAGTCTCCAGGAGCAGTGAGATAGTAGCCTGAGATATATTTCTGCTAACCTTGCTCTTAAACAAGCACATCTTCTGTTGTATGTCCTATTGCAGCGTCTGTACATGCCAGTGCATATCTGTACATTTTGTGCTCAAGTATGTTGTGTGCATGTTTCTGTTTCTTCCATATCACGTTTATAACGCCCTTGCTCCGAAAAGAACATTATAGTAAATTATGATTCTAAGCATACCGTTTCTATTTTTCTATTACATCCTAATAAAAATTCATGCACTCTGACACATCTACAGGGTTTGAACACCTGTTGAAGTGTGCAAAAACTAAGCCCAAAGGAATGGAATGGATGTTGAGGGTGTACATCTGATAAGGAGATTTAAAATGGGTGGAAGATATCTTGTTTCGAAATAGAAAGAGACATGCAATTGAATTAACTCACTGACCACATACATCACAAAACCCACTGTGGACAAAGGCAAAAAAATTTGCTGAGACCTGTTATCCTATATCTGCTCCTCCAGTTGCTACTTGATGAAGAAGCAGCCATGTAACAAACACTGCTACTGAGCATCTGCTGTTCAGGTTTAATGAGGGAACAGGGAAGAGTGAATTATGGAGAAAAAGCCTACGTTTCTAATAAATAAAAGCCGTAATCATGAAAACGAGAGCTTGACAATGAGATAATTTGTGTTAGAACTTAAAAAAACCTAAGATGGGCAGCCATACAAATCATTTAAATAAATAAATCTGGATTTCTGAAATTTGAGAACTAGTTTGGCGTAGTTTTTAAGGCATTGAACTAGAAACTTATGAGTTCTATTCCCACCTTTAGCTCAAAGCCAGCTGGAGACCTTGGACCAGTGAATTTCTATTAGCCCTAGGACAGGGGTCCTGGCAAGCCACTTTAAAAACAAAACCTTGCCAAGAAAAAGTGCTGAGACTTGTTTAGGCAGTCACCAGGAGTCAAAAACTGACTCAAAGATACACCCAACAAACAAACTCCAACCCCAAGATGGGCAACTATACAAACCTATTAAATAAACCTGGAGTTTTGCAGAGTCACTTATTCATGTCCCAACTTCCAATACTGCTGCAACCTAGAAGAGTGCAGTCCAATTCATCCACTCCAGGCTACCTCACAAAATAGTGAAGACAGAATGGGGTCATCTCAGGCAGCCTGGATCTTGTTTGTGAGTGTGTCATGGTTCTGACAGATGAAACTCTTCAAAGAACTTCGAGGCATTGTTTACCTTAAAGAATCTTTATCCAAGCAGCATAGCATTGGCACATACATAAGTGAAGCCAAAAATCTGGATTCCCCTCCCCTTAGCACATAGTACCAAACACAATTCCCTCCTCTAATCAACAGTCATAAATCACATTCTCTAATTAGTTTGAAATGCAGGCTTTCCCTCCTGTTCTCCAACCCGCCATGTCTTATCATCTCTTATTTCAAAAGCCCTGAGTTCACACACTATTACAATATTATTATGTCTAACTAAGTCCCATCACAATCCTCCTCTTCCCCCCCCCAGTATCATCTAATTCTAAGAGTAAAGCATAAGAAAGAAAAATGCTGCATCTTCATATGCAAGAACATCCGATGTTAGCAGCATTGACAGAGTGGGTCCAAATGAGTTAGTCAGTTTTCCCTTCAGATAGGAAATAAAACTGCCATTATAATGTCATTATGCAGGGAGCATGGTGGCCCAGTGGCTACAATGCTGGATTTGTCAAGTGGAAGGTTGGCCATTTGAGACCCAAGTACCACAGAACAGGGGGAGCTCCCATTCCTGCCCCAGCTCCTGCCCACCTAGCAGTTCAAAGGCATACAGCTGGGAGTAGATAAATAGGTACCACTTTGGTGGGAAGGTAACAGTGTTCCATGAGTCTCAGCATATAATCATGCTGGTCACATGACCACGGAAACATCTTTGGACAACGCTGGCTCCCTCAACTAGGAAATGGAGCTGAGCACTGCCCCTTAGAGTCAGACCCAACTGGAGAGGGGAAAGCTTTAACTTTTTTTTAAATGTCATTATAGAATTCTATAATAGTCTGACTACTCTTGAAATACTGTGCACCTTTCTGGCTACCACCCCTCAGAAATAGTATTGTTTAAAAATACTTCAAACAAGTGTTGGAAATGCAAACAAAGACCAGGTACATATTACCATATCTGGTGGACATGCCCTGAAGCAAAAAAAGATTTTGGCTCAAAATACATTTATGCTTGGAGAAAGTGACTAAAAAACAAATAGAATTTAAGCCAGAATTATTCTTGTTAGGAATAATAGGGGCAAATTATGAGAAAGACTGTATATGTTTAATTCTACACGTACTAACTGCAGCAAGAATTATATTTGCCCAATATTGGAAAAATGAAAATTTACCAACTGAAGAAGAATTAATTAAGAAAACTTCAGAGTGTGCAGAAATGGATAAATTGACTTTAAAGATAAAAGAGAAAGAAGACTCAGTGTATTTTAGAACATGGGGTAATTTCTATCAATGGCTAGAAAAATGATTTAGAGAGAAAGGAATGTGATATGTAACTTTGAATATATGTTCGCAAGAAGAAGACCATCGAGCGATTAATTAATATATTGTTTATGATAATTAACTATTACTCACTGTTTTTTTCTTTAAACACGTGAACCCAGACATTATGCTGTTTGCTAAATATTGAAAATGTTATTTGTAAAAACCCTAACCCCACCCTAACCCAAATTCCAATCCCGACCCCATCCTATTCCTACTTCTATAAAAACTAATTTGATAGAGATAGATAGATGATAAATAGATGATAGATAGATAGATAGATAGATAGATAGATAGATAGATAGATAAAGATACTGTAGATAGATAAAAAGAAATAGTACTGCAAGCTAAAAAAAGGCAAAGAAAAGGACATTCAGAACAATTGATGGGGTGCAACGTACGATGAAATGTATATCGCATAAAACTTGCAGCTTGTACTTGAAGGTCCTCCCTTACTGCAGTCGCCTATGGTTGTCTCTAAAAAGCAAAACAAAAAGCTTGGTGTGAAGATGAGAAAGAAAAGACATGATGGGTGAAGTGTTGAAAGTCATGCATAATGTAAAAAAAAAAAAAATTGAACAGTCTTTCCCCCCCCTCCCCTTAGCAGGAGGAGAATCATGGCATGAAAGAACATGTGGGAAAAATTGGGACTAGCGAAAGAAAGAACTTGTTTACACATTCATAATTAATTGTTGGAACTCCCTGCCCTCAATGGTGCTGTTCCCTGTAATTTTTCTTTTAAAATGGCTTTCCAAGTCCTGAACAGAACTCATTCAAATGTGGGCAGCAGCTATTTCTCCAGGTCCTTTTTGTGACTTTCCTCCAAGCAGTTGAGTCAAAGGTCTTTGTGAGGTGCACTTGGCCTGATCCAGTCCAGTAGGGCTCATCCATTGTTTTTATCAAGTTATGAAAGAAATTGTTACAGTCTCCGGGGGGGGGGAATCTCTGGATTCACAATTTGGCCCTTTGGTGACCTGCTGCCCCTTTCTCGAGTCTAGGAGAGATTTAAACTTAGAAAGTTGTCTGGGTTTTCGGTAAAACTTTCTAATTTAAGTCCAACTAGTTATGAAATCTTTATTCCACCCTACCCATCCGTGCTTGCTATACAGTATTTGGGGAGGAAGGTTACCTGCTGAATAACTTTGGGTCCTAATAAGTCACTTTGTAGAGTAGCAGATCCACAAAGCCCTTATGGAATTGGAAGTCTCTTAACTTTCTACAGATTGAAATGTTAGTGCTCTGGGTGCACTGTGTCACTCGGCAGCTTCACAGCACAGATGGCTCCAGAGGACTGTGTAATCTTTCTTTTTGCCAGGAGTCGACTTCTCTTGGCATGGCATTCGTTGCTGGCAGTGTCCACGTTGAAACTGCCAGTACCCAAAAGCTAAAGGTTTCCAGTGTGTTACTCAGAGGATTAAATGGGAGAATTTGAAAGTTAGGGAGAGATGAAGATACGGAAGAGACTTATTGTGAATCCCCTGAAGGAAGAAATATTTAATTCAGTTCATGTTATAAGTAGCAAGGAACAAAAATCTTCTTGGTTTAAGATATTATTTGGAGTAGATTTCTCCCCTTTCAGTGGCCCAAGGTTCCATCTCTTCAAAGAACTCCTCAGAATATCCTCACTTTCAGAGATCCTGATATTTCCTTCCTTCCTTCCTTC